AATAAATGGTCATATAATCCCGGCGCCCAACGACTCCAAAACCCGCAGAAAAAACCGTGTACCGCACATACCCGCACGACACACCAGTACCGCACATACCCCACAGTAGCCACACAAAACCACCAACGCTTGTTGACGGGCACATTGCCTCGAAGGATACCAATCTCCGACAGCCTCCTCCGTAGATCGCGGCGAAAAACCAACCGCCGTGCCCTGCCTTCCTGACCACACACAACACAACTCACCCACGCACCACACGGCGGTCATCATGCTGGCGTGTGGCAAACATTACAAAGACGCGTCGCCATTTGCGGGTGTTGCGCCTCCTGTGTGCCCGTTGGCTAATTTCACCAGTCAGTCTAATTTCACGTATTTGTCAACTCGTGGGCCCGGGCTCCTCCTCTCCTAGAGGGGGTCGAACTCGCTCGATCCGCGACTTAGCTCGCTATGGTGCTCGTACATAAGGTAGCGACAGAGAGACAAAACGGGCACGACGACCTGCCTCATGCTTCCGAGGCACAGCAGCACAGCAGCACAGCAGCAGCAGCAGAGCACGGCGGATGGTTTCGCCGCGATCTACGGAGGAGGCTGTCGGAGATTGGTATCCTTTGAGGCAATGTGCCCGTCAACGAGCGTTGGTGGTTTGTGTGGGTGTGTCGTGCGGGTATGTGCGGTACACGGTTTTTTCTGCGGGTTTTGGAGTCGTCGGGCGCCGGGATTATATTTAATTAAGGAATAATAAAAACATGACCATTTCTGGGTACAAAATCGACCACTTCCGGGTACACTAGTAACAACCAATATCGGTTACACCGAGGGTCCTAATTCCAGCGAAAGGTGTACCCGATGGTTTTTTGTTCAGAAATGGGTACAATGGTGTTTCGGCCAATCAGCTGACAGCCTGGGCGTGCAAGCGTCTTGATTTCTAGCTTTACCCGAAATTGGTGATAAAAGTACCCGGGTATACCCGTTTCTGGTTACTGGTCAAACCAGGACAGGGGGCACAAAGAAAGGCTGAAAACTTAACGCCGTTTCTCGGAGTTTTATTTGAAACTTTGCACACATGTGCATTGTGTTGGTGCGAAACGCTGTGCGGAGGGGGCTTGTGAATTTTCTTCCATGGTCGCCGGTTATTCGAGGTCCTAGGAGTTGCACATGACCCCGAAACCTCTACAGCAGTACGACCCCGGATATCCGGCGACAGGGGGGGAAAAAAGGGCCCTCCGCACATACATGGTTTCGTACTATCTGTGCACAACCCAATCTATAACTCCTAAAAACGGCGTGAAGTTGTCATGTTGAATACTTCGAAGTATTTCTTGCGTCCTTTCCTTGAACCAGATATCTACGGTAGGTAGTGAGTATGTGCACACAGCAGTGTAGTTAGTTGCCATCGCCCCTCTCTCGGGTTGATGAACCTTTTTTGCCGTTGGACCAAGTTGGACAGCAAGCAGCGGAACAACATTGCGTCTCCGTCCGATGAGGCCGCGGGTCACCTCTTGTTGTACCAAGTGAGCGCCTTTCAGGTAGTATGCAGAGATTTATTTAAGCTGTTACGGCTCTGTGTTTTCCCACACCGGGGGGATTGGGCCATGGCGTGTGAGTTTTACGGATGTACGAGACGTTGCTGCTGCGTGTTTCAGCCGCGGTGTGTGCGTGGGTGCATATGGATGTTTTCTGGTACAGCAGTCAGTACGCGGACGTGCACTGCGTAGCTTCTTCTACTGTGGGTATATCTCGAATGGGTAGTCTTTCTGTGCGTCTATTTATTTTCTGTTTCCTTAATTCTTAATCGAGAGGCCGTGGGTCAGGACACATCATCTTTTATAGGTGCGTGCACAAGCTAAATGAAACAGCAGGAGTAGAACAGGAAGCTCGAGTTTGTGATGCGTCAAGAGCACGGTTTCATCAAAGGGTGGTGCCAGATGAATGAAAAGCAGGGAGCAGGACCGCATCTTGGAGAGTGGCGTTACTCAGCTGACACGGCGGGCTGGCGGCATACATAGTCTAGACACACACACGTACACTACATAGTTCAAGGTCGATCCACATGTATGTACAACTGTAGTCTACAATGTCCCGTCCTCTCCAACCAACCCATGGCAGGCAGGTTGTGATCGGTGCAACTCCCAACGTACAGCAGTAGTACACCCATATCAGAGGCACCCACTGTTCTGTATAATCAGGCTTACCGCTGTTCACCAGAGAGGTGTTTTTATTGATGCGGACGATGTGGACGATGCGGATGCATAGGTCCTGGAGCAAGACAGGCGCTGCTGTGGTGTGTTTCGTGTTGTATGGGCTGGCGGGTCTGTCGTACGGGCGCCTCAACCTGCAGAAAGAAAAATCTCGAAATGTTCCCCGTGGTGCTGTCATCTCTCACCTTCTCCTGAGGTGCTCACCTCCCTGTTAACCACGTCGTCACCGAACCAACGCACAGGTTTTGAATCCTACATCAGCTTCTGGTTATTCCATTGGCCATTGCATTGGCTAGGGCTAGGGCTGTAACGAAGAACTCCATTCAGCAGGAGTTCCGAACGGAAACAACAATGATCCGAAAGCCCAGCTGAAGATGCATGATGCATTCACTACTGCTGTAATACGAAGTATGTCTCGATGTCTCGACGCCCCAATTCTCCCTACGTTGCACACAGGGCAGCTACCCATGCGCCCGTACTCCACACCTCCCCACCGGGCTGTCCCCATCCTTTAGAAGAGGCCGTGTGCATTGATTTATGTGAATACCATCAACTTTGAATATTACGCCTTTCCGCAATCTGGGGTCCCACAGGAGGAAGGCCACACAGGAGTCTGCACTCAGAAGAGGAGAAGACGAAACAGAAGAAATCGTCAACCCATCATTAACTTTATCAACCCATCCTTAACTTTATAAAGTCCAGTGGCGATCGTTCGCGCGCTGAATCGCGTCGCTTGCTCGCGAAAGGCGCAGTTGACGTTACGGGGCCGCATCGGGTTAGAAAATGTTCATTACAGAACTACAGCAGTGCCGGCCTCGCACGGTTCTGTCTCCGGAGTTATCGCACAGCATTCCGGCGTCATCGCTGTTGCGATAAACATGAAACAGCGAAAAAGTTGCAAAAGAAAAACGACCGTGGAAAAAAAAAACGACCGCGGGGTGCGATGACATGGTATATGGCGGTAGTCTACATGCTTTTTATAGGACAACTACAGTAAAAATTCTCAAGACATTTCGTGAAGACATTTCGTGAAGTGTGTTGAAGATTGAGTGACACCAGCTACAAGACGATCTTTGTCTCAGTCTCAGGTTTTAGCTATTCCAGTCGGAAGGAAAACACCGAACCGCGCACACATGATGAGGAGACTTGCCTTTTCGAGGTTACGACGTAGCGCTTCTACTAACATTAGACTACAACGACCAACGGAGTTGAAGCCGCGTCAGAAATAACCAAATACCAGCCCACGTGAATCGCATACCTCCGTGGTCTGCCTATCCAATGAACAGGCCACGCACAGCATGTGAGCGAACCCAACGCTGACACCCACTCAATCCTCAATCGACAGTAACAACAGATCACCCCCTGAGAGAGGCTACAAGGCCTACGCATAAACACACCTTCTTCGAAATCTAGCCTACCATCTCGAAAATCTCCGACTTGAACACAAACCAAAAGCAGCTATTTGGCTTTGCGCGCAACAAGCGAAACGATAGAAGCTCTCTTCCGACATGCCAATCAAAGCTCTCCTAGCCTGGCCAACACTGCGTACGCCTCGCCCCTGGCGTCGACTACCTCCAGCCCAGAGCCCTGCAGCACCAGCTTCGGCAAGGTAAGGGTCTCCATCCCCTCACCCATCACGTCCACCACGGCCGACCCATACCCTCCTCCTCTGCTGCCGCCCCCGCGGGGAAACGTCTGCACGCAGCTCGCGGACACGTGTCCCGCTCTCGAGGAGCAGCTTGCCCTCCCCGCCGCCGCCGCCAGAGCCGCCCGTGCTTGCGCGAGGGCGGGGGGCGGTGCCGGCCCTACGGCGGAAGCCAAAGCGCTGTTGCTGTGGCCACCAGACTGACCTGAGAAGCTCTGGGCAAGGAGTACGGGGGGAGGGGGGGAGCGAGGGTGGTGGTGCGCTTATTCTCCCTTATGCATGGCCATACATGTAGCAACATGTCCGCCTTGCGAAGTTCAGGAAGCCAGGACAGAGTTCGTCCGGGAAATGCAAGCCTTGCACCAGGAGCAAAGCTTGGCGAGGGGATCAAAGAGAACGGACATTGCAATAATTTGGGTGTTCCCTTTTCGACACAGCGCCCAGTGTACGCCACTGCGGCGATTGAGGGCGCGGTGAAGTTAGAGTCAGTAGTCACTCGTACTCATCGGGCCTGTGGCGTAGCTGGTGCATCAGCGCTGCGTGAGGGCACGCATAACATGTTGCTTGGTGAGAAGAGCGCTGGGTGCGAGAGGATGAAGGTGTGGGAACTCGCTTGTCGCCGCTCCGGGGTTGTGCAACGATTAGCCTGGTGTTCTTCGGGAAGTCAAGTTACATACCAACCTGCGCGATGCTGTCATGCGAAACAGATGCGGATGAAACATGTGCACACAGCCGTGTAGAACATCGACCGTTATCTTCCACATTGTTTCGGACTACAAGCTGAAGGTTTAACTGAGGAGCTAGCTGCTGTGATCAAAACACAACTTTCCTCTTACCACTGGGCCGTGCCGCCGGGCGGCCTCCTCGATGCCGTTCCTGGCGATTGTGGATATCTTGAGTAGCTTCACCACGTCCTCACCATCGAGAAGCACCAAAGCCTGGGTCGGGAACCCACGCAAGGACAAAAAACAAGGAAAGAATGTTCACTCGGAATACAAACAAGGAGCGCTGTCTTGTGGTTTTGAACAACTACAACTGCAGTCGTGCTGCTCCCAAGGAATGCTGGCCCTGGGCCTGGACAACTGTCTGTATGCTGTGCCACATCAGGCGCGGAAATAACTCATTGCATCGGTATCATGCCGTTATCCGTGTTTCCTCGATGGGCTTCGACGAAGCTTACGGTCAACGCGCCAGGGCAGCGTCCCTTATTTCAGGTACAGACACTACACGCGTTGGAGTGGCCGGTAATCACACTCGAGGACACTGGCGGCCAGATTCCTCTGCCCGAGGGAGTATCGCTCCCAATAAACGGCACCCAAGTGCCGGGACTACCCACATGATACATTCGACTTGGTCGTGCCATCACCAACCTTTGTTGCGCTATCCTTACTAATTGATCAATGGGGGGACAACCTTTGTGATTGTGAAGTGCTCTATGGATAGGATACATGTAGACGGGCTTGACGCTGTTGCCCCCCTTCCCTGTACCTGTGCGGTGCCGTCATCGATGTTGGCCGAGCCCTCCCAGCGCACTTCCCAGTTCGAAGACACATCGCACCTCCCCCAACACCGACCGAAGGAGAGGTCCTTCTCTCGGACCTTTAGTTGACGGCACATCCACAGAAGTTACACAGAATATAGATACCGGTATAGAGTAGATTGTAGGGTTGCCGAACGTCATGTATATGCAGTAGTACGTTTTTGGCTGATGGTGTATTCCACCCAAGTACATCAATCTTTTGCACGGCGGTGGCCAAAACGTTTCTGTTGCAGGGAGTCTATCTGTGCTGATGGTACTACAGTATCGTCGCAAGCACGGTGCCCTTCTCTCTCCACCGACCAAGAAGGCCTACCTACAGCAGTCACGCAGGGTCAAAGTTCTACGTTTGTGGCGGTGTAGTCAGGCGGCAGGCGCAAGAGGGCTGGGTGTTGCAAAACTCACCGGGCCGCAGTTCTTGCACCAGGTAGCGGCTTTGGCAAACCTGACGCAGACGACAGAGAGGCAAGAGAAATTTGTTGTTGCACGAACCAATATCCCGTGCTTGAACATCGTCCCGAGCGTGGGGGATGAACTCGAAGTAGCCCCCGGTGCCTCCATCGCCGCCGGTTGTTGCGACACTGATCTTGGTGGCGCTCTCAGAACCGGTTCTGAAACCTGTCCTGGGAGCGTCTGCTCTGCCCACGTCGATACCTCTTTTGACGATGCTTTCGGGATTAGGTCCATACCGAGATCTCGAACAGGCGCAGTCGCTGTACGACGACCAGCCGAGGTGTTTTCGCGTGACGAGAGGGGGGACGGTGGGACCGACCCACCCCCGACTCTCGCTCGTTTCCTAACGGCACCGCCGTTTCCCCCGGGGCAAGCCCATGACCTGGCAGCAGCGTCCGCAACACTCGCACCGTTGTCGCCCCCATCGCAACAAATAGTGTGGTTGGGTGGGGGGGAGGGAGGCGCATCCGCGGGGTGCGTGTCGAGCAAGACCACGCGCCCACCCCTCGTTGCTCGAATCACGCCGCGTCCGCTGGCCATCACCATTGGATCCACGCTCTCATGACCGCTACAACCCCCACCCCCACTGCTCCCGCGTATTCTTTGGCAAGTGTTGATCCCGCTGTGGTCGGCGTCGTCCCTTGCAAATGAGGTTACCGGTCTGGTTCTGGGTCTAGGGAACAACAGCAGGGGGGCTGACGACGGACTGTGTCCAACTCCATCCGAGCGGACAGAGTCGTCGGAGGAATTCATAAAGGTAGTGCTGGCACGGCCGCCGCCAGCTGCTGCTGCTGCTGCCGCTGTCGCTGTTGTTGCTTGGCAAGCTGGTACGGGCATGGACACGAGGTGTCCTGGTTCATGGCCGAGACGGGTGGTGCTACTGACCCCCCGCACTGACGGGGGATGGGGAGGAGCTGACCAGCCCAGCGCAGGGAGGTTCTCCGGTGGGGGAGGTAGTGCAAGAGACAGAACCTGACAAGTAGGGACAAACAAAAGACGGGAAAAAACAACACCAATGACAATGGACGTGAAAAATGGTGCAGCCGAACAACAGCAACAACAAAAACAGAAGCAGAAGCAGAAGCAGAAGCAGTCAAACAATGACGGCAGGTATCGACAGAAAAACAGTGACAAGCTATCGGAACAATTCGAGGGCCGGGAGTGCCGGCGGTTTCGAGGGACGTAGCGGGTGTTTCAACTGCTTGGAGTTACCCAGTCGCGTGTCAGGATCTACAAAAGATTATGTGCACATGCACCGGGACCGCATTACGGCAACGTACGAGGTGCTGCGGGAGCGCGTACACTGACATGCACACAACAGACTTGCTTCATAGGATACAACAACAACAGCAACTGCACGAGCAACAGGACATGCTCGCCCTCACCCGTACGGTCCCGCCGCCGGCTCTAGCCACCGCCAGGTAGACGCTCTTGCCGTTACCAGAGAGCCTCCTGCAAACTCCTTCCACCTGAACACCACGTCAACAGTATATGGGGAAACAGCAGTGATGGCCGTGGGAATGGCACGGTCAACAAGCGCCCACCAGCTCAATTTCTCTAGGCGGAAACAATCGTAGTCACTATTGTAGTGTTCCTGAAGGCGGTGGCAACAAAATACATCACGTTGCAGGGCTCAGGTCAGGAAACCTTGCAGCGATGCAAAGTCCCACGATGTCGAGCCGAGCCACACGCCACGCTTGCGACTACCGCCACACCGCCACAGATCGGACCAGGGTACGTTTGTGGGGAGCGGGGACCGCCTGGCGGGGTCATCATCATCACCGTGCTGTGGCAGAGGAACGAATGGCCACGCAGACGCAGCGGCCGCATCCTACCAATCCAAACATTTCTGTCATCGAGTCCAGGAAAAACAAATATGGATAAGCGCCATCATATCTAACTGCATTGCAACAGCCACCTTGGGTGCGTATTGTATGTCCAGCCGCATGTCCATGGCTGCGCATAGACAGAGTCTCTGTCGTTGTGGCCTCGGCGTGAGAAGCTAGGAACACCCATCTTCGTAGCACCTTCCAAGCTACAGCACCGCTCAAACAACCGCCACTCACGCTGAGCCGCCCGTCAGCACCACAGACATCACCTGCTGAAAAATACATCACCACACAGCACCAAGAAGGACGAAGTCCCACACGCTCAAGAAACACACCTGTACTGTACAAAACCCCGGAACCATCCCCACGGGCCACGCCTCCGGGGAAACCCCGAGGTAGACGCTGATCTTGTCCGCGGCGTGCTCCAGTGTCAGACAAAGCTGCACTCGCTCCTCAGATAGCACCTCGAACATGTCTACTTCCGACGTAGTGGATGCGCCTAAATCGCCTGCGACATAGCAGGTCGCCATGGTGGTGTAGAGCTGTGAGGCGAAATGGACTCCTGCGTCAGCTCACACCAGTGGTGGCATACTCCTGCGTCTTGCGGGAGGGGGGTTCGTGCAAGTCGCGCTTTTGTTTCTCAAGGTACCGTGCCGCTTCGTAGAAGTAACATCACACCCTGTTGCTCTGCGTGTGGCACCCTTCTTGGCATCGTTCCGTCCCACCTGATCAAAACCATATCATGGTACCAGTTGAACGCTTGCAAGAGGCCAGCGGATTGCCACCACGATGCATACAACCACGAGGGAGCGGTGCGTTGTAAATGACCTCTCCCAGTACCCCTTTTACGTCCCCTTCCACAAACCTTTGATGCCGTGGCCTTGGCCCTTGACAGCAGTCACCGCCGCGGGGAGGGCCTTCTGTCGTCGACGTCCGTCTCCTCCTCCATCAGCAACGGTGCGAAAGCCTACATCTCGTAGGAGACCCCTCACCACCATCGACTCTCGCTCGTGCCCGGAGGCGAGTTTTGGTCCCCCCGGGCCCCCGCCTCCTCGCCTACCTCTCCTATCGCCCACACCGCCGGAGCTATCGGTCGCTGAGGAGGACGCACCGGCCGCAGCTAGCTGGACGATAAGAGCCTCGCTCACAGAGAGAATCCGTGGCACTAATGGTCTACGCGGGGATAAATCTCGCTCCTTCTGCTTGCCTGTGGTGCCTGACAAAGCTGTTTGCTCGTCTTCTCCCGAAGTCGCTCCATGATGCTGGTGCTCAAACCCGAGGTTTGTCCCAGCAGCGGCATTGACGTAGTCGAGGCAGTGTCGTTGGTTTGTCGCTTCGTCTCGCTTGTTCCTTTCGATTCCGCCGCTAGCACTCTTGCCGCCGCTGCCGCTGCTGCTTTTGTTGCCACTCGTTCTGCTGTTCTTGCCGTTGCTCGACCTGGGCAACAACGACACGTCTTTCGCCTCCACCACGAGGTAGCTCCGCATCAGAAACCTAACCCCATCAACGGCCCTAACCGTTTCGCACGGGATTGTATACCCAACCCCCTCGGCTGTGTCGCCTGGGCTGCTGGTAGTGCGGGGTGGTCGAAACCCATATCGGGGGTACGAAGAGGCACCACCGCCGCCACCGACCCCACCGCCCCCACCGCCGCTCGGGCTTGAATGAGTTGGTGATGGCGATGCAGTCTTCTTGCTGGAGGAGGTAGATGTTGGTACTCCGCCTTCAGCGACTGATGATTTCGCAGTTGTTGCGGGTGGTCCTGATGAAGCCGCCCCTGCTAATGATGATGGGTCTTTTAGTGCCGAAATTGTGGCTGATGCCTTTGTTGATCTCGGCGACCCCGTGGGGCCGAGCACAACAACCTCCGTGCAGACGGCATACTTTCGGACGAGAGCAAGGGTTGCATCGGCAGAGACTCCAGCGTCCCCCCGCCCAGGATGACCTTGATCGCAACCCGTTTGACCTCCTCGTTGGCTGTCACCGTCAAAATCGTCGCTGTGTCTATCCGCTCCAGATACCACCTCCGCCAACTCCGGCCCGACCGCAACATCGACCACACGTGTACTCGCATGTGCGCAACCCACCGCACCCGTCGCCCCGCTCGGGCTGGAGGGTCGCGGCGCAGCCAATAGCACGACTCTGGCCCACGCCGTTCGGTCTTCAAGCCACAGGCACGCTTGGTTTGATGCCAGCGAACTGTTGGTTGCCGCGTCGCTTCCACCCCGAGCCCTCGGAGACGCAGAGGAGTTATCCTTAGAACTTGGCCTCAGCGAAGGGACGCCGTGGATGCTTTTCTCACCGCTCGGTTGCTTCCGGCTCTCCACCGCTGCGGCAACAGTATCAGGTCGCTCAGCGAGAGATGACTCCATCGTTGAAGTTTTGACTTCTGCTGCTGCTGCTGCTGCCGCTGCCGCTCCTGCTGCTGCCGCGGGTGCTGCTTCTCCTTTTGCTTGTTCTCTCTTATCGCTGCGCGGAATATGCAGCCAGACCAACAGGCCTTCTTCTCTGTCTGCTCTCGAGCCGAAGGGGGTTCTCACCGTGAAAGTGGCGTTCTTCATCGCTCCTGCTGCTGATGTTCGTGCCATGGCAGTCTTTCCTCCTGTTGAACGGGCGTGGCTCTCGCCACCGCCACCGCCACTGCCGCCGCACAGAATCGACCGCGACATGATTGATGGCACGATGTCGGCAGCGTGCTCAACTGCCACCTGAAGAAGGGGTCAAAACGGTTGGCATGCCACCAGCTTCTGTCGGAAAAACAAAACGCGGGCCGCTTTCACATCCATTCTCCTGACAATGAAGGAAGACGGGGGATCAACCAACTAATGGCTTTACCTCTTAACGGGATCGAGCGCTAGCCAACGTGAAGGTAATCCCCTGCTAATCAGGTGGTGGGATATTGGTTAATGCGGGGTGAAGATGCGCTGTACATGCACACCACCTGGTGGCGGCCTGTGGCGGCCTATGCCCTCTTCTTTTGCTTCCTCGGCGACTAGGGCCTTGTTCCTTCGCATGGCTTTTGTGGAACCAACTCCTGTTGTTCGGCATACTGTAGGTTGACGTAGTGGTTTCGTCCACAAGTGCGGCAGAATACCGCCATTGTAGGCATGCCTCCTCCATGACGGCATCAACTGCGCTTGACACTACGTGCCGTTGTTCACCTTGTCCCCAACTCCTAGCTTACCTCAAGGGATTCTGAAAGAGGTCTCGCGGCGGCGCGCAGGACTTCTTCGGGAGAAGGTCGACAGGACGAGCAAGAACAACAGCAGCTCGGGCGAGAGCAGTGCCCATTCGCGCCACCGCTGCAAATTTCGTCTTCATGAGAGTCGCCATGCCAGCCTTCGTCGGCGCGTTGAATCAACATGTCGTCCTAGGAGGGGCGCGGTAACGGGTATGGGGCGCGCGGGGAGGGGTGAAGCAGCAGACGAAGCAGTGGCGGAAGTGGCGGCAGTCATGGTAATCGCAGAGCAGCAAAGCGTGGCAGCGGTGAGTGTCAGAACCAAGCCACCATAGATGAGTGTTTCAACAATGTTCATGCCTAAAAGAGTAGAGGCAGTACACATTGTAGCAGTGCACATGCAAGTGATGGCCTTTCGTTGTCTGTGCAGTCTTCACGTAGTAGATGGCAATGTGAATGTGAACCACGACAAAATGGGGGGGGGAAAGCGTGCCACTGCTGGCAGGCATTGGGAGCCACAACATAAACCATGTGTACCCACACCAGTGTCTGGCACACACAAGCGTGGAGACGCCACCAGCGAATAGAGCTCACATCTGAAAGGATATGTGCCTCTCCATCGCTCCCGTCTTCCGCCGACGTGGAACCACTGTATCCCCCCTCGTAGCCCCCTTCTCGGTAAAACCCCCTCTTGGGTGTCTTGGGTCTCTCTTCTTCCTGGTCACGTTTGGTTGGCATGTTCCTCCGGCACGAGCCGCAGCCACTGCTGTCCTGGGCCGGGCCTACGAGATCTACGAGATCTACCGGATCTATGATGCCGCAAACGCCAGGCGGGTGGTTCAAAAACTCCGCGTAAACGTCCCTGTATGGTCCGCGAAACAACGACAGCAAGTCAGAGAATTGGCCCCGGCGAATGGCAAATGGAGCACGGGGGGCATCGGCACACCATGTCATTTTCGGTACCCGTGCTGTCAGCAGTGGGGTCATGCACGCACCACACGATCGCCCCACACAACGCGGGTCAGATCACATTTCACTCATGGAACCGGCGATTTCACATTGAAGGATCGTATGTAAGGGTGGGTGTGATGTGAGCGGTCTACCCTGCGGGCAGCTACACAGAGAGGGGATCGTGTAGATGGCAGAGACAATGTACTATACTATGCTGAGGTGTTGGCCTTCCATGTAGTGACAGTTTTAAGCTTGGTGGATTAACGGCCATCTGCGGGTACTCTAGGCTCGCTCCTAAGCCTCACTTCTACAAGTACCCGACCCGACCTTGACAAACCTACTTCTCCTCAGCTTTACCTCCGTCGACATTTTCCGTGTCAAACATGTAAACCTGGTACCTTGTCGGCTGGCTATTTCGTTATTTCCTCCCGACCTTGACGTTCGGCTGCCTGGCCCCTCCTCCCTCTCATTCTTCCCTCTCTGCATTGGCAAAAAGTGATTATATATTGTTTCCCATGAGACCACCACTCATTCGTGTACCCATGTCTCTTACCTCTTACGCAGTCTCATCGCCCTCATATCTTGTCCGAACACCCACCGACACACCCTCTCTTCCCACGTCGCGGCCATCGACACCCCCCATGTCAGTACGTCTGCCCCCGCTGCCGCTGTGTCTGTTCCGCCCATCTTCTCACCACCACTCCCCGACCCGCCTCCCCCAGCCATTCTTTGACTTGATCGCGACCTAGACAATTGCCCAGCGGTGACCAAACCCGAAGGCTGGAGAGGGGAAGGAGAGGGAGAGGGAGGATGCCTTGGCAGACCAGTGCCGGTAGCACTAGCACCGCCAGCGTTGCCCGCTGCCGCTGCGGTTGGGCCTCGAGGAGACCCGGAGGAGGAGGAACTTGAGGAACACGGTGTTCGTCGACGGTGATCATCGCTGGTACCTGAGGCAGTCGAAACCGCCACACCGAGAGGGGTTGTGGAAACGGTGACCCCAATCCTGCTCCTATCGAACTGCTGTTGAAGGCGCTGATGTTGGTACCGCGCCTGGTGCTGGTTTTGATTTCGTATTTTTTGCTGCTGCTGCTGCGCCCGGAGTTCTCTCCGCAAAAACACTGCGTTGAACGATTGCCGCCAAGCGTGTACCGCGAGCGGGTGAGGGGTAGGTCCTCCTGTGAGCGGGCGATAGGAGGCGTTTTCACCCAGCGGGGAGAACCGCAACACCTGGTGTGATGGAGGGGGCGGGGTGAACGAGGATCAGAAACTGACTTTCAACCTATTCAATACGTACTGTACTGTACTGCGATTTGAGACGCGATTTCGGGATTTCTCCGCAAGTGCGTTCGTAACATCTCTAATCGTCCGTCTACCGCCGAGTCTGCCGTCAAGAATAACAAGAACTCCGTCGTTTCACTGACTCGAGTCTTTAGGCTCAACCCATCGTATGAGCTGCACGCATTAAGCGAATACCGTTTCGTTTGCGCCGAAGAAAAACCGGCGGTGAGTAGCCCTGGATTGCCCCACAAGGTCAGGCGTTATCGAAATACCAGGTTAGGCTAGGGATATCGGACCAGTCGGTCAATCGTTTCCTTTCATACAAGTAGACAAAGATAAGACGGATCGATCATCAAGTTCTTCATTCAGATCGAAAATTGCCGCGAATATCAGCTCACACCTGCACGGTCGTCCGAAGGCAAGCCCCCAGACCAATCAGCGTGGCCCCAGCGTACACTGGATGCACGTTATGCACCCTGACGTTGGCGCCCCGCCTGATAGGCCACAGAGATGAAACGTCCCAGTGAGAAAGGAAGATGGTTTGCACGAGATGCGAAACGTGACGGAAGAAAAAGCGAAATCAACGCCGAACAGTGCTCGGTCTGACGTCAATTTTTAAAACCCACGCAAGGACAAGGCGGTTGGGTGTACACCCAGAGAAACCAACCATTGGAATATCTCCACGCGTCATCTACCGAAAACTTGGAAGAGCTTCGGGGTCCCGTAGAGCTGAGCCGTAGCTGTAGCTGAGGCGAATGACGAAGGGGGGGGGGTTTCTTCCGCAGGTTTCTTCATATCCACGGTCTTCACGGTAGACGAGGAAAAGGGATAACTGAACCCTCCCCGTGGGAATTACTAAGGCAAGCACCGCAGGAGGAAAGGTCGGGCGTTCAAACAAAATGAAAAAAACAAAAAAAACTGCGTGACCTTCCTCCCGTGTGACTCATGCTGACGCGTTACATTTCCATTTGTATACCGCGAGGTGTTTAGACTGGCCCCAGGATATATGAGGTGAACATACACACGAGCACTCCACCTATCTATCTCAACAGATCTCTAGACAAAACAACTACTTGGGTAACATCTCTTGATCTTTCTTACCTCAGACCCGCGCCTAGGGACGAGCAGCACAGGTGCTGCAGGTACAGGTTGATTCCTGGCCTGTCTCTGTCTCTACCATTGCCACCATCGAAGACGTACGTCCCAGCCTGGACAACGACGTAACACCAACCGGAAAACGTCTTGAGCTGGCTCGTAAGAAAAAGTGTGACTATTTGAGCCGCCTAGGTTCACCCTCCCAAAGGTCGCTCTCCCCACGTTCTGCGGTTTCTGCACACCACTGCCAAAAGACCCCGGCATCGTTTACTTTTGTCCGCCTAAAGAAACAAGACATGGCAACTGTTCCACCAAGAGAAACACCTTGTGGTAGCGCATGTATGACTTTTGTCCCGCAAGCATGCACACATGCGCCTCCCTCAAATCGGGGAAGAGGCTACGCGATCTCCTCCTCTCGTGTCCCCCTACCTGACTGCCGAGCCCTGTGATCGTCCCCTCGTAGGTCAACACATGTACACCCCCACAGACCTCGTCCCCGCCACAGCTGCCGTCACCATCGCCGTCACCGTCACCGTCACCATCGCCAACAACGCCTCCCGCGTTACCACCACCGCCAACACCGACGTCACCACATGTTCTCCCGTCGCCACCGCTGCTGCTGCTATCCGTGCTGTCACGGCCTTTGCTGCTGCCGCCGATTGCGTCGGTGCCGCTGCCACTACTGCCGCCCGTGACCCGCCTCCTCTTGCCGCTCCCTGCTCGTTGCTCGGCATGTCGGTCGTTTGGTCCCGGTATCGACTCCACCGTTTGCGTAATCCTCGCTGGCAATTCGTCCGCTCCGGAAGATGGAGGCGCGCTCGCGGTGGTGGATTGGGAACGGGAATGGGAGTGCCCGAGTGCCAGGGTATCGTCACCACCGTGACCATCATGAAAATCACTGTTGCCACCGGGTCCCGAAACACGCACGTCCACCTCGACGAGGAGCTGCCGCAGCACGAGGCACGAACGCGAACAAACCAAAAGCACACGGATAAGAGAGTTGTCAGACAGAACAACAGCGAGATATGCCGTAGAGCGCTGTAACGTCGCTAGCTTAGGAGCTAAAGCATGATAAAATAACGACAAGCACAGGGTAGAGGCAAGCGAAAGTGATAATTGGGAAAATAAATGAACAGCAAATCTTCGACTAGTGGGCGGGACGAAAAATTGTTCAAACACATGGGATGCGAGTGTCAAGACTTTATCAAAGTATGAATCACAGGAGGAGCCAGGCATCACAGACCAGTAGCAACATGGTGAGAGCAACTGACGAAGCTCTAGCAAAGGCTTGCCATCACAATTGTGGCACACAGTCGGGTGTGAGCAACGTATTCGCAGTCTACGGCCTACGTCAACAATATCCAGGAGGATCCTAACAGCTAAGTTCATCGTTTGGGATCTCTAGGTCAATTTGCTTGTTGAGTGTCCAGGAGCCGCAAAGCACGCGCCTCTCTCCCTTTCCTTCCCTGCCGCCCCTTTCCCTTCCATCTCCCCATCAAACCTTGGCGCTGGCGTCCGCCAGTACCAACGACTTACTTTTACCTACATTGAGGTTCACCAAACTGCGTATCTGCACGCAGTCAACATCTTGAAACAACCCACGTAGGTGTTCAGGCCCGCCAGCAGCTATGGCCGCATACTCTTAAACTGAGCCATCTCCCTTGTGTTGTACTGTTCTAGGCGGACGGTTCATCCACCGGTTCTAGGCATCTACCGGTACCTTCATGCTCGGTGGACGCATTGTACACCAAAAATGTCACACCTCCTCTGGTTAACATCTCCCATCGTCTCCCACCCACCTGCGAATGAAATCACAATCGCTCAAAGCGGTGAGCTCCCGAATGTAACCTGTACACATTCGCTCGAAGGAATCAAACCCACCTCGCGTCTCATTCAGCTAATTCACTCGTCTAGAGACAACGATAACGATAACAGTTGCGCAATAAAGCCTGCTTGCCGCAAGGCGACTCAAACTGCCGAAAGCTCTGTTCGCCGAACCAGCCTCACCCGCTTAGCCTTTGATGTCCCTCCAGCCCCGCCCCGCCCGTCAGATCGCGCACCATCTCCGAAAGCTCTGTAGGTATTGCCAGGCATACCGGCACTGCCGCCGCCTTTGCTACGGCGGCTCCCACCAAGCACAAACACTCCCACCTGGGGAAACACGAACGTCTTTCCCGGCACGAGAAACGCCTGCCAGGACAGACAGCGCTGCCCGTTCAGCACCAGCATCGCGATAAGCTCTGTACGCTGCTGCTCTTCTCTTTCGCTTGGCGGAAGTGTCGTCTGATTCTGGTGCTGCCGGTGCCCGCCGTTATGCTTGCCACCACCGCCGCCGGTAGCACCACCGTAGCCACTTCCTTCCCTGCCCTCACCTCCATCGAAGCCAACACCATCACCACTCTCCGCTCCCGAATTCGGTGCGGAATGAGCGGCGGCGGGGACTGGCCGCTGTTCGGCCACGGGAGCCTGTGGGGTGCTTCTTTGCTCACCCTGATCGCCGGCACCGGAGGCTGCTACTGGTGCACCGGCATGGTCACGGGAAGTGGGGAACGGAAAAAGAGCGGAAATTTCTTCGGGGCTTCGGCAAATTCGCGATGTTCTCTGCGCCTCTGGAGGAGAGGAAGGAGGGGGAAGGGGACGACGCGGGCCCTCTGGCTGGCGCCGTTGCTGTCGCTGCTGCTGCTGCTGCTCCCGCTGTTCCGATTGCAGGGTTTGGTATGGTTCCGCTTGTTCGACTTCCACCATGAAGAAGGGAGAGGCGTTTTTGAAGCGGATCACGGGGCTAACAGCCGCGACCCTGGCCACGACGTCAAATGGACCCCTGCGCAAAGTCAAGACAAGAGTAGGTCAAGCATATGCAGGAACAGCACGTTCTTGGCAACATTAGGTTGATGAGTAGGAAACTATGAATGAGTCAGATATGTAGCATCGACAGGAGAGGATGTTTTACTCACAAATCCAATACTTCGGAGGGCAAAACCGAAAACAGGGACGGGGGGTCGTCAGCCACAGTAAACGCAGCAAGGGCAAGCACAGCAAGCAATTTCAGCAAGCGAGACAACCTGGCAGACGGCATCGAATGAGCGTCAAATACCGCTTAGAACAAAGCATCACAAGCTGCCACATACTTAGGATATGTCCAACACGAAGTGATCGAAACGTTATTCGGTCGCGGTCTTACCGAACACAACGCACAATCAAACTCAGTGGAACTCCAACAACATCGCCATACCACACACCACACACCACACGCAAACTCCAAGGAACACAAACGGTCTTTCAGACCATGGCGACGTTTGAATACCGAGCAGAACATTGTCACGTTAGTGGTCAGGCGACTTTGGCATGCACCCAGTGCCTACGTGCCCCCTCTGTTGTATTGGGATGCACTTCCTTCTTTCATACAGAACAAACAACACCAAATCAAGCGATGGTTCGCACCGGTCGTTCCAGGAACTTCACATATTTGCGAGTGGCGGGAATGAGGCAGACTAACCTTCCCTTGCGGCCAACGAACGCGTCAAGCCCTAGCGCGCCTTGAGCCAAAACGTGTGACAGCGTCGGCCTCTGCGCTGATGCACGTGGTACGTAGGACCACCCAAGGTTGCTCTCCTGCCCACCTCTCCCCCCTCCAACTGCTGACCCTTGAACTTCTCCTTCTGCTCGCATGCCTTCGTCGCTGCTTCTACTGACACCATCCCCGGCGACATTGCGACGAACGCCATTGATCTTGTCGCGGCTGCTGCTGCCGCTGCTGCCGCACCCGTCGAAGCCGTCCGCTCTGGCTGTCCTGTCGTTGTCGTCATCGATGCCGTTGCCTTTGAAAGTGTTGTTGTTGTTGGTGGTGGTGGTCATGTTGGCATTGTGCTCGTCTTCATGAGCGAGATGGCACATCTCGGTTACCTCGAGGCAGGCAGTGAAAGAAGGAAGTGGAACACGCGAAGAAGAAGAAGAAGAAGAAGAAGAAGAAGAAGAAGAAGAAGAGAGACGAGTCCCTCGCCCGATGCTATGAGGCACGTCTCTCTCTCCTCGTGCTGCTGAGCCCGAATTATGCGCGCGGGGGGTGGGGGGAGAGTTGCTCGGACAGACATTCGGAACGGTAGAATATCAAGGAAACACCCTGCGATGCATTGAATCCGGATCGATATCTCCACAGCAGAAAAATGCTAAAGGAGACAAGGGATGTATCTGCGAATGTGTCGTCGATAGCTGCCCGACCACCACATTAACCCTTGATGTTTGGCTATCTGCGCGCCGTCACACGGGAATTGATACACGTATGCAGAAAAATACGGTTATCTTCTACTGCCTGTCGCCTGTGTGGGCGATTTTCCTTGGAGGGGACAAATCTGCTGTAACCCACACAACGAATACCACCACACAAAAACACACGAGTTATCTTCAACCACCAAAGACGCTACGGCAGGTGCAGCCCCAATCAATCAATCCTAGTTTCCAACAAACACCCCATAAAATAACCTAAGGGGCATCACCGTCTAGATACCCCAGCGCCCCTCATATATGTGTCACTGCTGTTCGGGACCTCTTGAGCGTGGAGCTGATTTATCGCGAGAATCACACCGGACACGTTCCAATTGGTCATCTCTTGGAAATCTCACGCACTCTCTCCGAACATCGCAACAAGCATGTCCACCTTGTACGTCACTCCCGTATCAGCTTTTAGCCACCAACCACTATCTGGCACCCTTGCCGACTACGACTACGATACCGACACCGACACCGACAGCAGCACTCTCTATCTTTCTCTTATCTCTTACCAGCGGTGGGCGTCTTGTCCCTGGTCAGCGTCCACCGTGACAGGCAGACTACCTGACCCAACCAGCTCGGCGGGGGCAGTGGCGCGCAAACCAGCCGCACTCTCCCTGGGAACAAACGAGTGCATCCACACCGTCAATACATGACCGTGATGTGGGTTTACGCCCAACGCCGTTGGCAGGCCTTCGTGTAATGAAAACGAATCAAGACCTCGTCCCCTATCCGCCAAGACTACTGTCCTTTTCACCAAGGTGAGGTTGACGACACCGGTAAATTATATGTCGCTTCATGGAGATACACGTTGTGTTCCCCGCCTACATACTCATGTCTCAGGACCGGGCTCTACAGACTATTATATAGGGGTGGAAGCACGTGTAGACAGTAGTAAAGATCCTGACGACGTTCGTTGTCGCTGTGCTGTTGCGATCGAGTGTGCTTACCGGTTTCGTCCTTCAGAAACAGCGAAGACACCGCCACGTCCCCCTCTCTCAGCGACTCAAACGACAGCACCCCGACCACCACCTCCACTGCTGCCGCTTTCCCTTCATCATGCCCGCCCACTCTAGTAGCCTGGACTCCCGTATCTCGTGACATCGACGTCCGTTCATCTCGTCCATCTCGCCCAGACCGGCTAACGCCGTCACCACGCTGCCGTGCGGCCGTTGATGTCGCCCCGTGCCGGAGGTCGAGCACCTGGGATACGGTGATGGCTCTTGCGGCCCCGGTCCCGGCAAGGTGGTTTGTGTTGCTGGTCTCGTCATCTGTGGTGAAGGTGGTAGTGTCGCGGGAATCTTGTTGCTCTAGCGAAAAGGCTTTGGCTTGCGCTTGCTGCTGCTGTTGTCGGGCAACCGGGCCATCACTCGGCCTCCTTGCCAAGCTACAGTTGCAACCGCTGTTGATGTTGCCACCGCCCTCTACACCAGAAGGCCGGGAGCAGCGACAGCTGCGGCGGGATAGTGTGACGGAGATTGCCCTGAGGGCATGGTGCCGTGCGTTTGATACCTTCGCCACTGCCCGAGAACCTGTCAGCCTCTCCCCTGCTGCTTCCGAGGACGATGCTTTCGACGGCCTGTGATGGTGATGGTGTTGGTCATGATGTGGTTTAGGCTGGGGTGGGGGCATTGTTGTTAACGGAGCGATCGATGCCCCCGTGCGTGGTCGTTTTGCAACGGCATGGTGGACGCCTGTACCGCTGTTCTTTCCACTACTGCTGTGAAGGCGTCCTGGTTCCATTGGAACCTTGTCTCCTGCTCCGGGCTCCTGGTGTCCTCGTCGCTCTTGTTGACGCTATTGCCTTGCAGCCGGAAGACTACAACAGCAGTCTATGCTGTACGTGCTGCCCTTCAGTCATCGTGCTCACACGGAACTACTGTTGTAGGGGTTTCGAAGAAGCAGCCACCGCACTTCCTTCCACTAGCAGTGCCCTCCCGTAATCAGATATCTCGCTCTCTCCCCCTCGCGCCCCTCTTAATGGGTCAACGGCAACGGTCGCCGGACTTGCGGGGAGGTTTGTCTAGTGTTGACGGGACTGTCAGCTTCGGAGAGAGAGATAGATGGACAGAGCGCGTGTCAGAGCGATGAAAGATGAAAACAGACACCAACCAGACACTCATACCTTCGCGGCAAAGCTGAGGCTGAGGGTCTTCTCTCTCCTCTCCCCGACCGGCAAGCTACACATTCTCTGCCTGAACACGCGTGAGAACTCTGGAGAGAGGCTTCGGTTTCCCCTTTGCTTAACTACTGAACGCTGCTGTAGAAAGGGCGCGCTCGCTCACGGAGTCATGGCGATCGAGGCATGGTACATGGATGAAGACAAGGCGGCTGACCAGAGGCTACCTCACCGCCAGAGTCCAAACGTGGCATGCGGAACTGCCGAACTCCAGTCGTTGGGTGAGAGAGAGGTGAAGGAGAGAGAGAGGACAACAGCAGCTGTATACCAATAATGTCGATATGTTTTTGCGCCGCATCTCCCTTTTTCGGCGTTGATTGCGGAAACATCGTCCTCCGCTTTCCATGCAACGTATTTTTTTCTCGCAGCGAAAACTGAATGCAAATAGCACAGCACTATGTTCAAGTAGATCATGTTAACTAATACTCACAGGATGTCGTCGTCAGACATTAGACTTAATTTTAGTGTACACCAGATTTGGTGCCGTTTTTTTTTTTTGCGTGCCCAAGCGTGCCACACAACTGTGTACAGTAGTATATGCGTTGCGACGAAATGCCTACTGCTGTAGGTTTGTGGCCACCACATGTCTCACGAACTTCGTGGAGCAACGACGACGTGCCCTCGTCACACCCTGTCATGAGTGCACTATTGGACGGCTCACGTTTGCTTTTGGTGTTGTTTTGATGTTGTGGCGACCACGTGCTCTTGCTGCGTGTACACCAAATTGGTGCCGTCTGTATTTTGTTCGCGCCACGCAGCATGCGTTGCGACGGAATGCCTAAATAGCGTTGAGGCTACCACATGTCCAACAAAATTTGATGCAGCAACGACAGCGTGTACTGCACCCTGCATGCTATCGTCACACCCTGCATTGGATGCACTTTACGACGGTTCACGTTTGGTTTTGGTGTTGTTTTAAAGTTGGTGCGACCACACGCGTGCGGCACCGATCACGAATGAATATATGCTCTTCGTCTACGGCATGCCGCTCTGCAACCCCGAATTCACTCATTTCCTATCAACTGCTGCTGTACTGTAGTGTACAATAGCACCCAGCTTCGAACCGGCGTACAGATGCTGCCTGCAGCATGACCTTGCTGTAAACCCGCATAGAGTTCACCCACAACTACAACCTCGAACATCACGTCGTCTGTCTGCCCACCCTTGCTGCGGTATTCATGACAATATACTTACATCCAATCTCCTCACAAAGAACAACTTGCATCCACTACTGCTGGCTCTACAGCATTGCACGCCCGCCGGCCCTCTATCAATACTTCGTGCTATCGCTACACCCTGCCATGAGTGCACTTGACGACAGTCCACGTTTGGTGGTAGTGTTTTTTTAACGATGTGGCGACCAAGTGAAGCGTGTGGCAGCCATCACGAATATGTACAGCAGTGTATATGTAGTTCGTCTACGTCACGTGTCGCGTGCGCTCTGCAACACCTACTCCACTCCTGCCAAACTCCTACCTCAACTACTGCTGTACTGTAGTGTCCAACATTATCGACCCACATTTTCGACCAAAAGTAGACTTGACACGCACCACTCACTGTTGGCTCTGAAACACTGCACGCCAGCCTTCAATACGTATACTTCGAAGTAGATGACTTCGCGTCAGCGATATTTTGCATCAGATCCTTCGACATCTATCATCACAAACATCACACTGTCCAGACCTGGTGCTGTAATCATGCCATGTAGTCTACAATATTTTGAACACCGCTGTCGGCACAACAACACGTTCCGCAACCCCCGCCTACTCCATCCATTGAATCTTCGGCCGTCCTACATGATCCACCCACCACATCTGCGTCGGGGCCGACATTAATATCAATGACCGCCTGGCTATCAACACACAACAAGTATTACTCTTTGGTTGCCAAGTACGTACCCCAGATTCCGTTGTATCCGACTGCCACAACCAACGACACGCGCATTTTTTTTTCTCTTCGAGACTTCGCGCCACGCCCGGACCAATGCAGCCACCAATTAATTGTTGTCGACGCAGTGGACGTTGCACATCCACTATCGTCTGCATTTTGGACGCGATTCACTCCTTTTTTGAGAGACGGGCTCAACGTCACGTCAACCCTTTAAAGTTATCGACGCCGAAATCCCGTCATGATACTGTCCGACCTTAATCCGACATAGTAGTGTCTTGCCACGGGAGTCTAGCCACCCGCCCCATTGGGGGGCGGGGGGCCAATCGTTGCCCCTAGTACTGGTGATCTCGCCAACGCTTTACGGACCTGGCAGTCTCAACGTAGACGAATACCCGCGCTCTTTCACACGCAGCAAGATTAGAGAGGAGAGATGAAAAACTTGAGAGACAGGGTACGCTTGGCTAACTTGAGTCAAACCCCTTCCCACAAACGTCAACCGATAATTATATAACCGTAGGAAGCACTGCTCACCTGTACACAATGCCCCCCTACCCCCCCACACACCAACCGCGTCATGTTAACGTCGACATTCACCTCGTCTACTTCGTATGCATAGGTGTGCTGCACTGGGAGCTGGATGCCGACAAGCACGCGGATGACCCAGCCTTGGAGAAAATTCGCCAAGACCGTGGCTACTCGTACCAGGTACGTGTGTAGTAGGCAAGACTAAGACTGTTTATGTACTGGTGCTGCTGCCGTACTGCCGTGTTGTCTGTATGATCGAAAGAACTGGAAATATGTACCTGAAGTATGGCAATGTGTGGTACGTGTGGGTGATGTCCTGATGTACTATAGCGTGCTGTCCTTTGCCCGTAACTTCATGGACACGTGTCGGGTTGCACTGCTGTAGTGAGCAACAACACCCGTGAGTGTTTTCAAAGGATTTGTCGTCCTCTGTCATGCCGTTCAAGGTATGCATCTAACGGCAGCCGTGTTGTTTTAGCTGGCAGGGGGTTGGAGGACAAGACGCCACAAAGGAGACTTGCTACAGTAACTGCACCGTTGAATTTCCCTCCGCTGTCGACGATCGCAGCATAAGCGATTGTTGCTTGGACCCGCTATTTAGTGCACCCTAGTCTTGAGGGTAAATATCCAGTTGCTCGTCGTGCGAGTTGAAGTTAAGTAGTGTCCATCATGCGCATGCACGCGGTTTGCTTGAAAAGACAACTATTGTACACCAGAAAACAACGCCATCACGCGGCATCGACAACAACATTAACAGCATGCCGAATTCAATGACGGCGCGGAGATACGCACGCAATAAAGGACCCCCCGCCCCCTCGGTGTTTGCCATCGGGATTGGGTATTCGTCGCTTGGCAACGACGTTGTAAACAAATCAATTCACTTCGTGAACTCGGCAACCAGGTTACCGGGTTTTTTTTTACGTTTGGTTTTTTTTTTGGCGGTAACCATAATGGTGGTCGAGTAGATCATGTTGTGCGGGGTGGAGAACCCTCACTCCGCGCAAAGGGGGATGATCGCACCACGTTGTGTTGAAATGGTCAAGCATCCTCGAGGCAGTTACACAATGCTTATGACTGTCTCTGGAAATGAAAGCACCAGAAAATAAATTAAGTCATAAATTACGCAGCTGTCATCCGTACGCAAGGAAGTAAGCACAAGATGCCGAACACCCTTAGCAGGATGCAGCGCACCCTTCATGCGACTCGCCGAATACCTCACGGCGCTTCGCGCTTGGTGAAGTGAGAGCCTGGTCCAGTGAGAACCCGGCATGCTCCGTCCCGGCTTTGTAGGGATGCGAGGTCAATGGTCTAACGACTACGGCATGCACGACTATGAGTACACCCCCCCCCTCCCTATACATGTACTAGAAGCGCCTGGTAAGGCAGCGGTATCCACAATTCACATTTGCCGATCCGCATGTTGTACGTGGCAGTCTTTAACTCCATCACCAGGTGATAGCATTGCCGAGGAAAGCTTGAGTGTGTCCCATGTCCCATGAAACTTTGGGGCTGTTTCGATTACATGCTCGTGAGAAGAACATGGAGGGAGGAGGTGTGTGTCCACCTCCTCCCTCCCGCACCTCGTGCATTGAGTAGTTCGCATGGCCACATACGTGCATGCATACCCTCAAAAGTGACGTTTTCGAATCCTACACCTAATGTTCATACAGGACATCATCACCGTGTCGCCGGACAAGCTGGCGAACTACGAGGACAAGATCAAGTCCTTCTTCGAAGAGCATATGCACAGCGATGAAGAGATCAGATACATCCTAGAAGGTAATGCAGGTGTTGGTACAGGTACAATGTAAAGGTTGAGAGCCCTCCTGCCTGCCGAGGACATGTAGATAAGGGTCATTCATTCTGGGAGGCGAGTGGGGGTGAATACATGTTGGCTCTGGTCCGGGTTGCGATATTCGCCACGATGATCAGGTGGTGCTTGTAGACGTGTGCGACTGCAGAAGGCGAAAGATACAGGTTGCAGGTGTTGGAGCGGGTGGATGATGAGGGCGTTGGATGTGGCGGTCGTTGTGTCCCCTTGTTACCCTTGTTATAAAGCTATTTCATACCTCTTGCTGTCCTTTCCGAGACCAAAGTCGCCTGCGCGCCGCGTAATGATGATGGGTAGCCTGCAGTCTAGCCATGCTTCCCACAGACCTAGCACATCAATGGGACCACTACCGTTTCGTTTCGAGCCCAATCAAACTCACACCCCGGGTGGCTGCTCTTTTCTCTGGTCCTGCGCTCCTTTCGTGTATGTATGCATAATAGGCAGCGGATACTTCGACGTGAGGGCGAAGGACGAGCGTTGGGTGAGGATCAAGATGTCCAAGGGCGACATGATCACCCTCCCTGCCGGCATTTACCACAGGTTCACGCTCGACGACACCAACTACATCAAGGTGAGGGACGCCTTGTCGTGTTCGTGTCTGCACCACGACGGGTACGACAGGCACCACAGCCACGGCGCGGACTCGTAGTGAAAGTAGTGAAAGTCTACATTTATTTATGCTTGAAATAGGATGTACTGCTGTAGGATTCACCGCTCGCGGAGGTGGTGCGTGTACGTGTCTTTATTATTAGCATCGACCTCTCGCTAACCTGCTAACCAATGAAAAGACGTCAACCTCAGATCGGTTGAAATGTGTGTGTGTGTGTTTCTTGACACACAAATCCGTTGGAGTTCGGAGCAAAAGTGAAACACAATAATATTTTCTTGTATCAAGAGTCTTTTCTTCGCTGCCGGCCCCCCAACTACTGGATCACCTTGCTTGCTCTCGTTGCTCGCTCCTTCATGTCATGTATTTTCGCTTTTATTTCCTTCATGTATTTTTGTTTGCAGGCGATGCGGCTGTTCGTGGGAGAGCCGGTGTGGACACCCTTGAACAGGCCGCAAGACGATCACCCCGTCAGGAAAGACTACCTGGCAAACTTCGCCACTGCTGCCGCCACTACCAAGGCATGAAGAAAAGGCTACACAACACAACACAACATATGCAGCACTACAAAAAGCAGTAAAAGCAACAGCAGTGTTGTACGCCGTCGTCGACTGCCTCAACTCTCTTGTTCTTTTTTTGAGGGTGCATGCATGCATAGGGCTGGCCGTGGGAATGACGAACAGGCGAACAAAGCAGTTAGTTGTCAGACTTTTGTCAGACAGCCTCCAAGCCGAAGGCATGAGAATACCTGGCACCAGTACATCGGATGGGCTTGTAGATGTGGTTGGTTGCCGTACCTAAATGGGCTGGGTAGTCTATTCATAGAGGTTAGTTAGGCGGTGAGTGAGAGTTAGCTGTGATAGCCCCGGACTCGACTTATGCCCTTTTCCTTTTTCGCCAGAAGGCTCACCAACGGAAGGGTTGTCTCAAGAGAGAACTCCCCGAAAATGCGCCAGGCCATACATTGTATCAACCAACGTTGTAGGTTGATTTCCGTTAATGACACAAATTGGATCACAGCCATCTTGGAAGTAAGAGTGAGCGGCCTCGGCAGGACTTCTCTCGGCCCCCGAAATTCGATTGTTTTCCGTTTGGTTTGCAGCTTGGCAACGAACACTCGATACTCTGGCCATGACAAGGCAAAGAGGGGAGTGACGGAGAAACGTCAACATGTCAACAAGCGACTCACGCGGACCTTCTTATCGACACAACCGCACAAAACATGCATGCTGAATGATTCATTCATTACATGGGAGACACACGGCATACGAACATCTTTGCCCACACCCTTACCTACCCCCCTCTACAGCAAGCGGCAAGCACAACCGAATTGCTCGCCGACTTGACAAGGTACTCACGTCACCAAAATCTCTATCCGCCAACCTATGTAGACTACTGAGGATAGGCTACATGGTGGCGTGGCGGAAATGGGAGTAGACATTGCTTCCCAAACACGACACGCGAAAGAAGAACTCAAATAAACAAGGTGGATTGATGTACTGTATTTAGATCATGCATGAACATACCATACGAAGGTAGAATACCTTAACAAAGAAACGACACTACCGACAACAACAGCTACACAGGTTACGGTAAGCAGGAAAAGTGGGCTACTTCTGCATCTCCCCTTGAGTAACATTATCGCGTGCACCAAGGGACACAAAACGACACAAACGAAACACATACAGGGTCGTGGACGGGACTCGCAAAACACTTTCTACGCTACAGCAGTAGGGGCACCAACCTTTGGGGAAATCAAATCAATTGGAGACGGTCCGATTCGCGGAGAACCGACCACATATTTTCACTTTCACGCCTGGAGCTCCAATTACGAAACAAACCGGGGCAAGGAACGCCCCGACATTAATCAGCCCGAGACACATTTCGACAGGAGCAAGTGCAACTCAAGCAATGGGGTGGCGCCACACCCATCCAACTACAAAATGACCACACACAGCGCTACAACGTCGCCATCACATCAATCGACGTTGGAACCTATGTTCGAGAGGTCGCAGGGCGCTAAAACAGCAGCCAAGCCATGGGGCGGCGTCACCCTTTGGTGGGTTGGGGGCCCGCCCGAAAAGGCAAAAAAAAAAAAACGCATCGACGGCGGCGACGACTCCTCTGTTGTATGCATAATCGTCGGCGTTGTCCGATTTAAAATGGTCCCAACCGTTCTATCGGGGGCACCAGATGACGCGACCCTTGCTGTTGCTGTTGCGCTTGACTTGACTTCATCCGAGGAGGCAGGCGCGCGCCGTCTATGCTCGTCCTGTTAAGCTCTCAAGGCTTTCAAGGCTTAAGGGCAAGGATCGCACCCGGAGCAAGAGCCACATCCACGGCAGAGCTGTCCAAGGCCAAAGTCTGCGCATGACGAGACCAAAGATTCGGCGTACATGCACACGTGGGTGGAGCGGGCCGGGCGCGAAATAAGACATGTGTATGCACGAACAAAAGCATGAAAACAAAAAAATATCGGGTTGGTGAACGAGTGGATCGGGACAGGGTTTTTTAGGGAGGGTTACGCCGGACTCTCCCAAAGGCTGCGGTGTGTGGAATGCTTTATCGACTGCCACTTAATGCTTGCACGTACACTGCCGCCACGAAATCAAGCCCTTGCGCGGGCACACATGATCATACGGCTTCCCCCGCATAAGTCACAGCAGCAACGGCACGGCGACGACACACTTAGAAGATATACATCACGTTGGGCATGGCGAAAGGCTGTGATGCAATACCAATACTCACAGTTGCAGTGAGAAATGTCCTCGCCGAGGCAGGTGGGGTCGCACACGATCACCTTTCCGCCGCCGTCGTACATGGCAAGAGCTTCCTCCTGTACAGAGAGTTTACAGATGAAAGAAACACGTGACGAAACGAGGCGTGAGAAGAAGAATACAGACCACAACAACAGCGCTACGGCAGGCAGGCTTCGTTGCACTCATCCTGTACCACCAATGTACATGGAATGCACCTCTGTTGGTCGCGACAATCGCGCCAACAATGGAGGGTAGAGGGAAGTCAGGCACACATGGCAAGTAGCAAGGGCAAGGTGCTGGGCACGGAAGCAATGCTAAACCGACCCACGGCAGTTCACAGTCGCTTGTCCAGAACCAACTATGATAGGAACCAACCACGTTCTGCAGACATTGGCGCGAGAGCACACCTGTGCAGGAGAGATGTCGGCACACATGGCGATCTCCGCTTCGGTGCAGCTTCCAGAGGTCGTGTCTCCTCCCTCTCCCTCACCCTCTCCGGTCTGAGACGATGTCGTTCCTCCTCCCCCTCCCCCGCCCTCTCCGGTCTCCGACGATGTCGTTCCTCCTCCCTCTCCCCCGCCCTCTCCGGTCTCCGACGATGTCGTTCCTCCTCCCTCTCCCCCACCCTCTCCGGTCTGAGAAGATGTCGTTCCTCCTCCCTCTCCCCCGCCCTCTCCGGTCTCCGACGATGTCGTTCCTCCTCCCTCTCCCCCGCCCTCTCCGGTCTGAGACGATGTCGTTCCTCCTCCCCCTCCCCCGCCCGCTCCGGTCTCAGAGGAGGTGGTTCCTCCTCCTTCGCCCCCACCCCCACCCTCTCCATCGTCGATCTCGACAGCACGGCACTCGATGTCGAGACCAAAGGCCCCGCAGCCGTCCAGCATTGAGTTCTCGTAGCAGTCTGGGTCACAGACCAGCTCCAGCCCATCGTTCTCGAGGGCAATCCAGTCCTCCATGGTGAGCATCTCTGTGGCCTGGTTGGTGTGGTCGATTGGGCCGACGAGAGTCCAGCGGGTAATGCACATATATTCAGATACATGTGGTATGGGTGATAGCCGGGCCTGAGATCGCCGTACATAAAACTGTGCACACAATCGACGTCGGAAGACTATCGTGGGTGAAGGTGGGTCCGCCGTGTACTGCTGTAAAACGCAACACTTGCCTCTTCTCTTCGCCTTTACAATCGTGTTCGGAGGACAGGATGGCGGGATGACACCTACTGCTGTACATCCAATCACACCATGTCATGGCGTATGCATACCATGTCTCATGTCTTTCGGCAGCAAGGAGCGGCTTAGAACTTGCCTATTATTCTGATAGGTGAGGCAGGAGTCCAAAAGAGTTGGTCAATTCCTTCCCGAGCTCTTTTCGATCGAGAGTACAGAATACTACCAGTACTGGGGTACTGAGGGCAGGAAGCAAGAAGCAAGAAGCAAATCCTTACCTCCTCGCAGGGGGAGCAGTCGTCGAAGTCGTATGACATGGACATGTCCGGCTCCGGCTCCGGCTCAGGAGTGGGCCCCGCGACTGGCATCACAGGCCCCGGCGTCGGGGGGGTTACCGGCATGACCGGCATGACGGGCTCCGGGGTAGGAGAGGCAACTGGCATCTGCGCATCAAAGCAAGCACAGCAGTGTGGCCGTGTCGGCAAACAAACAAGAAAAGGTGTGACCCAAGAAAGGCAAGCAAGGGGGGGCAGAGATGACCATGCCACTATTTGTGCACGGGCAGTTCTTGTTCGAACGACTTCACAGCTCATGTCCCGCACGACCGCATCCAGCCTGCAGGAGTACATCCTATGCACATCATAGGAGGTACCGGAATAACATGTGTGGGTGGGTGGATGACCGACCATCAGAGAAGGATAGGGCGCTCTGCAGATACTGCTGTACGACAAAAAATGTACAACATGCGATTTCCAACGTAAACGAGTCCTCAGTCACCTCAGGAGTGGGAGCAGTCACCGGCATCACCGGTTCGGCCGTCACCGGTTCGGCGGTGGCCGGTGCGGGAGTGGTGGACGGGGTCGTGCCGTCGTCATCGGCAGGGTCATCGTAAGCAGGGGTGCCGTCGCCGTCGTAGCAGGCCTTGCACACCACATCGAGACCGAAGATGCCGCAACCGGCGACCGGTGTTTCGGCACAGGTCAGGTCGCAGCAGAGGTACTGTTGTGGTGTTCGTTGGAGGGAAGGGCGGGGGGGGGGGGTTAGAATAAGTGGTAACGATACGCGGTAGACACGGGTCGCATGTATTATAGTACAACTCCGTGTGTGTAGTCCTTATGTTCTACAGTAGTACTCTCCCATCCAACACGACGCACCGCGAAGAGGCAACCTGAGGTTCATGGGTTCATGGGCAATGAATCGATGTAATTGATGTCATGATGTGGTGACAGACGGGCAAGGCGGGGGTGCGGGGCCGCCCTGCCTTGCTCGTAAAATGCGTTGATTGAATGCTGGGCGAAACTACGACAATAACTCCATCATTGCCTGCAGTCAGGACACGTTCGCGGGAGAAGCCATGTGAGATATGAGACATGTCTTCCGTACGCATCCAAGTCCTCCCCACGAAGTACAACAGACTCCGGAGTACTTTGGGGGGAATTATTGGCTACAAAAGATCTTGGAAAGAGGACTTAGTCCTGTTTTAGTTAATCATCTATGATTCGCAGACTTGTATACTTCCATCAAATATGCACATGTACAACACCGCTGTACTCAGGAGACAGCCGCAAACACGAAACACCGACTAATAATTGTCAGTACAGGAGTTCTTCCGCTTGTTCATCCTCGTCGCTACGGTAGATATCCTATGCCTCTCTGTAACGTCTATTATTGTAGGCTCCCTTGTTTGCACGAACTACGTTTGCCACGGAGGTATGCGCTGCTGTAAAACAAAGAGTGAGATGCCCTCCGGTCCTCTTGATGGCGTGTCCTGACAGGTATCATACGCTGTTGATAGATACCAATCTCACATGTTTGTTGCAATCCATGTCGAGAAAAAGAAAATATAATCAGAAAAAATTCTGCGGTACTACTGCTGTTGTAGCTCTAAACAAGAGTAGTGACGAACGCGGAGGTGAGGCACCATGCACACCCTTATCTTGCTGTACTGGGGGCTGTCGAGAAAGGATGTGTAGACTACTCATGTACGAGACGACCATGGTTGTGTGTGGCCTCTACATACCACGTATGCATACATGTAAGTAGAGAGTACAACATGAGGGGAATCAGCATCTTGCTTTTTCTGGCTCTTTCGCCTCTCAGCCGCCCTACATGGCGCAATATACTTTCAGAAGGTTATCCATCAGCTCCAAGTGTTTGAACAGCAGTCCGTATGTCCGTACCATGTACGTGTTGGGTAACCAGTCTAGAGCAGCAGACACCTGCACCGCGCCAGCATTTCGACTCTCTACTCATAAATCCTCGTCTTGCTTTGGACAGTCGAGTGCGCACGACCACTAAATTACTGCTGTACTACAACTGTAACGGTAACCTATACTTTTGGACACAGCAGACAGGTTTGCGATGTGATGATTTTGTTCGATCGTGGCTATTTGTTGTGTCGGAAGGAAGCCGTTGAGTTGGGGCGTTGCGGCAAAGTTCGATGCATCAATCAACGCTTCAACTTCAGCTACAGCAGCAGCATAATGATGGCGTTGTTAGGAAACACATCTATCGCGTACGGCCTGACAGCTCGAACACACCACCTCGGGGTAGCGACTTTGGAGCGCGTGAGACAGACGCTGTTAGCTGTTAGGCATTTACAAAAGCTACAAAATCTGATTTGTGTTTTTTTTTTTTGCTTACGTCTGCCGGCCCGCCGACCGCACCGCAACAGCAGCAGCGGCGGCATAGGCCGGATGCCGGAATGGATATGACCAGCGACAGCAAACAATTCTCGGTACATGCATGCGACGGAGAGAGCGATCCAGCAGAGGCATTGTGCGCAAGCAACGCTTCCACATTCCCCAGTCTCTCAACAGACCAAGCGCTGCTGCCGCCGCACAACGCGGCGATCGGATATTCTCACCAATGCTCTCTCGCTGCACTCTCGAAACTTTTGAAAACACACAGAACCGCAAGCTTACACAGACTATGGTGCTTCCTAGGCGACGGCGGACACACCTTGCCATTCATGTCGAGGGCTTCGAGCTCCGCCTCCGCAACTTGGGCGCAAGGATCGCAAGCTGCGTGGGGCGACCCTGCAGCGATTCCCATGAGGGCCATCATCACGAAGCTGGAGAGCATCTTGCCAGGCATGCTGCTGCTGATGATGGTGATGGTGAGATTGGCTCCACCAACGCACGCAGACCACACTAGCTGCTGGGTGAGCGAAGGGGCGTGGATCAACTCTCTTCGAGGTGAAGGAGAATAGGGAAGGGATGTGTCTGTGTCTGTGGGGTGTGGATGTGAGAGATGACAGCAGCAGGGCAAAGAGGCGACCAACCAACGACTCTCAGCTTCGAGGTGTTGTTGGTTCGGTTGCATGCCATCACAAGAAGTCACCGAACAACCAAACAACTTTTTCGGAAGAGATGTTAATTTTGACTTCGTCACACAGAGATACTCCGCTTCTTCCGTCGCCCTCCTTTCCAGATGACACGTGCAACGGAACCATCCCAAATCCAAACCGCAACCGCATATTTCGTGGGTGGGTGCGATCGTGTGATGATGTGATCGCTCATGGCCGACACGACAACACCCCGATTGGAGTGACGGGTGAGGGGCACCCTAGCCGCAAGATAGGGAAAATTGCGCAACCACCGATTTTGCCGGTAGGACGCGTTGGATATAGTCCACAGACTATCCAATGGCATCCTTTTAGTATTTACATGGTGGTATCCTTCAGGGAGAGGAACGGATGTTTCCAGCTGATTGTTGCCGGTCAACCGGTCAATCAAAATTGTAAAATTGTTGGCCGGTAGGGTTTGGCCGGTCAACCCTCAGGCCCACAGACCACCGATCACCGAAAAGCTCAACGTGTTTATTCATATCTATGCATCTACATACACGAAAAGATCGAGTAGAGGACATGAAGAGGCAACGGACTTCATTTGAAATTTTGAATTTTGGAGGGTGTGTGTGCGGTTTCGTTCTTATATACAGAGTACTACGTGGCAGAACAGCCATCCATTATTTTCAGATCATGTCCGTTGCGGCAGAGACATGTCTCATCTCTCCAGGCCTTGTTACACTCCCAAACTTGACGACTTTCCAAAAAGGATACATCCTGTGTGTCTACCGGGTGCTAACAGAAAAGTAAAAACGACACCTACGTCCTGGAGAGGTCGAAATGAAAAAAAAATGGTGCCGTAATTGCGTGAAAAGTTCAAAAAAAAAATCCCGGCACCACCTGGGAAAAATAAAATTAAAACGGAAACAGAGTACACCATTTTGGCATGTTGCCTGCAACCAAATCTAGTCTACATAGATAGATGTATGTTTGCCTACACATGGGTAAATACATACTTCCCTCTGTCGTAGGACCAAGCTTGATTAAAACGAAAGACACGCATGGCATATGCACACGACACATATGTAGTGCAGTAGACTAGACTGGACTGGTGTCCACGATCCAGGGAACGAGTTCAAGCCTCCCTCTCTAGCTCGCCCCGTTGAGTACAAAATGCAATTAGAGTAAAAACACCTCTGGTTGTAGATACTGGTGTGACATTTGTGCAGCAAGCACACACGACACACGACACCAACGAACGCGCGTCGGATGGCGTCCATAAGCTCGTCGCACGTATGCATCTATCTCTCGAGGGGTTGAGGGCTCTAGGTGCCACTTGTGCATTTGAGGACGACCGGCATACACAAAAAGAGGGCTGCAACCAAAATACATACATACTTACGCTACTCACCGACACAGCCAACAGTCAAGGAGAAAGTCAGACCACACAACGACCAATACAGCAGCAGCAGTACATGCAATGCATAGCAGCATATGATACATATGATACATAGAAATCCTCCCACGGGACATACAAACGATATACTCCCAACACATAGCGGTGCTAAATAGGCCCATCCAGAAACAAAAAACCAAATAGGGTACAGTACGCCTTGGAATATGCTACATCATCATCATACATCAGATCAGTCTACCCACGAAAGAAAGAAAGCGGGCGAATGAAATGAACATGTCCTGTTTCTCAAGAACAGAGGACGCCAAGCTTACGATGTAGACACACGCCGAACGCGCGTGCCTCCCCTCAATAACTTAAGTCTATAGCGAACACGGGAAAAATCACCGGGCGTCAACGGCACTTGCTGTGGCCGGCACGCGCGTCGGTATCGACTACGCTTTCATTCAACTCCGACGCCAAAAAGAGTCGAGACGTTTGTGTGGTGGGTTTCTACTCGACGGCCGGCTTAAGCCCGATGGTATCCAGCAACACCCCTCAACACAAACACTGCTATTCTAGCTTGCACTCAATTGCTAAAAAGGTACCACCGCGTAAAGAAGACTGACTCTGCTGTAGAAGAGAACCTAGGTCATGCACCCTGCTATACTTGGGCGCGCAATAAAAGGTCATACACATACATATCGGAGAACGTATAACTCCCGTACGCGTACTGCTTGTTGAAACAACGTTGCCTGCAGCTGCTGTGAACGACTGCTGCTGGTGCTGTGTCATCCACGCGGCCATGCCCAAAGATACCAGGCCCAACAGGTGGCAACAAGACCATGCGTGCTACGAATTAATCTCTGGGTTACTCCGCGAAGTGGGCCGACCCTCTCTACATAAAATCTAGCGCTGCCGCTGGTGCTACCAGGTACATCTGAGAAACTAATACAACTGCCCGAAAAAATGTAAGTAAATGGCACCTACGTCATCGAGCTCAAACCCGCCTGCACCCGTACCTCCTGGACCCTCACACGGCTACGTGTACCTCGCAGAGCAGCAGAGAGCGTGAGCGCTAACACCTGGCGTGCCGATGGGTCAACTTCAGCCTCCGTGGCCCGAAGATTTCCCGAAGGGGAATGATGTCATGCCATACCTATCCCAAAGGAGGAGTGCATCATGCCATACCTATCCCAAAGGAGGAATGCATTATGCCATGTCTATCCCAAGGGAGGAGTGCATTATGCCATGTCTGTCCCAAAGGAGGAGTGCATTATGCCATACCTATCCCAAAGGAGGAGTGCATTACGCCATGTCTATCCCTAAGGAATGATCTGATTGATGTCTATCGTTTCGTCGGGACTCTGAAGAACAACTCCCACTCTAAGCAACGAGGAGAGGGGAATACCGCCAGATGCCTGTCCCGTGTCTTGCCCATTGGCATTGTCACAGATGTCGTGTTTTGTAGCCTTCTTGCCGGCTGCTATCGATCGCTCCACCGAGTTCCGTGTTCCGAGTTCAACCTCTTGTGCTTGCAGAAAATTGGTGGCTGAAGAGAATAAAAAGAGTGAGTAGGTGCAGACGCAAACGGACGTGGGCGAGAGGAGACAATCGTATGTGTATCATGTTGGATGGCTTCAAACTCGGAGCCAAGCACAGTAGAATGAAGACGAGAGGACGGTGTGGGCAGGCCGAGACGCGCGGGGAGAGTTAAACGCATGCATGATGCAAGTACTATAGTATTGATTTCAATAGCCCTGGCCGACCGTCAGAGGTAGTGATTAAAAAACTCACAAAGGACACAAAGCCATCCGTAAAGGAGGGTTCAAGGTCGAAGCAGCAGGCGGCCGGGAGTGGCAACATGTTGGGAAAAACCCAAAAGTGCAGAAAAATGGAACGACGCCGGTCTACGGTACAAAGTCTGTTGAAAACAAATCCCGGCTTTGCCGATTCAAAGTGGCCCTCCTCTACTAGCAGCAACGTACATACATAGCACACGCTTTGAGGGCAAAGAGATTCAAAGGACTAGTCCCTCAATTCGAGTTTTGAGCGTATGGAACATCAGGCGAACACCGCCAAACGGCAACGTTTACCGAAGATAGGGGGGAGGAAAAGCCACGCAGGCCTCGCCCATCCCTCTCTGAACATGACAATTCAAACCCATCGAGCATGTTTGGTTTCACCGAGTATTAGAGTACTCTCCTTCTGCCTGTCACTCAGTGCAACTTGAACTAGTCGAAAGTTTATGATGGTCACAAACAAGGAGTGCCTTTCGCACGCCTTGACGTACTGGGTCTTCTGCAGAAGCCATCAAAAGAATCTCTACGCTCAGTTGAGTGGCGCCATGAATGCGTCTCGCCCATTCCCTCCCGGAGACAGGCGTCCATGCACTTCATCTCTTTCACTTCATTTCTCATTCTTACACCGAAGCATCGAAGTCAAACCCTTACTCTTCACTAACAGTGACAAAACCCCCACCACTCAACACCCTTTCACGCATTTTACCTGTGCTCTCCTAAACTCGCCCCATGCCCCACTCGCGCTCCATTTCCCCACTCGGGTTCATCTCCACGGCACCAACCCTCCACTCCCTCGTCTCCCCATCGGGTCCGATCTCGACCACGGTTTCGGCGACCGACGCCTCTCTGTGCAACACGTTCGAAGGGTCGCCTTCCGCGATGCTGGCGGATCTGGCCGAGGCTGATGTTGGGGACCGTTGTGCTGGGGGCGGGAGTGGTTCTTCTGTGATGTCTCGAGACCTGCAGAAATGCATCACCGTAAAGTAGAAAGTGAAGGGAATGAGAGGCAGCGGTGGTAGATGTTGGCTAGAGTATTGACGCATGGTAAGAACTGCACAGAAGAACGAGAGCAACACGCCTCATGGGTGACAACATTGGTGTGTTGCTGAATATGCGGAACTACTGACGGTGTTATCTCTGAACTATAGCGATGGTGGTGGAAGGGGCAGTGATGGTCATACAACGAGACACGTTCAGGGACACAACAGTACCCTTAGTGGGTTTAGCGCTGCTCAGACAGTTTAATGGGTCAAGCAGAGTCTCAGGTTTGTGGCCATCAAGAACGCAGCTTTCACGGCTCCATCCGTCAAGAATGAAAACGCACACGGCGACACCCGACACCGACCACCCCAACAACAGCAGAGCAGCAGCAGCAACACAACAACGGTAGCCGCCCTCATGTGACTCATGTGACTCATGTGATTCCCTCACCTCTTTCTGGCCTCCACGACGGCATCATGCAGACCGAGAAACAGGTTCGCCGGAGGTATGACGTCATAGAAGCCGGACAGCTCCAACAGGTCGCGCTGGGGCCCCTTCCAGTTGGCGCAAAGGATGGACACGCCCCTCTCGTCGTACGACTTGGCCACGAGGATCAGCATGTCGATTGCGCTAGCGTCCAGCTGGTTGATGGAGGACGCGTCTAGCACGATGGTGTGGATGCGAACTCCCTGGTAGGGGTCGTTTTCCTTCACCACCACCATCACCATCACCATCACGAGAGACCGAGGTGGGATTAGGGCCGGCGTTACCACAGAATGGCCAACACAGCAGTGAACTCAACACATGGCAATACCAAAAAATATCGGGGCTGGAAAACAAACGCCTGCATATGCCATAGCTGGATTTTGGTTTCTTGTTTTATGACACGCACGATGCCGTCCCGGCCACAGTTCGTGTGTATGTCACGCAAGATGCCATCCAGGCCGAGGTGTTCGTTCCGATCGCTCCTGACAATAATTTCACCCCACGTATGCGTAAGTCATTACTCCTGAGCTATCGCAATCCTTGAGCTGATTCTGCACCTCACCTCAAGCCAACTCTCTCTGTCTCTCTGTCTCTCTCTGTCTCCCTCTGTCTCTCTCTCTCTCTCGGTCTCTCTCTTACCAGGGCCTTGAGTCGGTTCTCAAAGTAGTCTTTGTTCGCGAAGTGCAGGCTAGAATCGAACCGGAAGATGCGGATTCCCGGTATCTCCTTCGCCATCGGGAAACGCTTGATGTTGCGGTATTCGCGGGTCTCGGGCAGCCTGCCTAGCGTGGAGTTCGCCGGCCTCGACGTTTGCTTCAGCAAGTACAGCAGGCTGCTTGGGCGGAGCAGGTAGACAGACAGATGAGCGTGCGAGGGGCATCCAAGGAACGGGCAAATCAATCAGCGGTTGATCAAGCAGGATTGCGTCCGAATAAGCGATGACAGAGTCAAGCTGCTAAGTACTTGTACAACGGGCTCGTTCGTTCTTTCGTTTGACGGCTCTCCTGTTACAGTACGGCGCCAGCGTGAGGAGGCTTGTCACAAAAGTGCTGCAACTGAAAACAAAGCGTCACATGAGAGGGGGGCCTGCAACGTGCCATCTATCGGTAGAGGTACCGTTCGTGACAAACAGGATTCCTCGGTGGCATGGGACCAACCAGCAACCAACAAATCCGATGCATACAAGGGCGAAAAGTATAACAGGACTCACTCACGCGGGTAAACCTGCATCTTCGTCGACGTCACCACAGGAGCGTGATCGGATCGGATCTGATCCACAAAATTGGCCCACTCACCTAACGACAACGCTGACCGCGATGCCCTCGATGGGCCCAACGATGGCAGTTACCCAGAAAGAGACATTCCACAAGAAGAAGTCGGGTTTGCTCAGGTGGTACAGCCGCTTCGCGTCCCTGAAGTCCACCATTTTCACCACTCCAAACATCACCTGGGGCAAAGTTTTACGCGTACCAGGCATGAGTGTCGGAGGAGGGAAAAGGGTGGTCGGATGATCCGGGAAAACGAGGTAGAACATCACTGTGTCTGTATTACAGAATACTATTGTACTGGTACACGGGATGATGAAAATATATCAAGTTGTTTTCACGCGGTACCACGAGAAAAGGGAGACACAAATACCTCGAACGGTGTTCTCCATACGTGTGTACGTAAATGGACGTCACTCGAAATTTCGAACGGCGGTTGCACACCCGCGTGCGGTTGCTGCACGAAGACGTGGATAGCGGCTGGATGCATATCCATGCGGCCGGCTAAACCGCAAGCGGAACAACTCAAGAACAGCTAGAAATAGGTGGGCAAAAAAAAAAAGCACTGGAATAGGTCCTGCACTAATACTGATCCGCTAGAACAAACGTTCTGCTAAGAGAAAAATTCTTCCCAAAAAAAAATGGAATCGGGGTAGGAATCGCGGCTTCCGCGGCGGAGCCTACGCTAGGTCCTACATACGTTGTAGTGTTACTTCGACGGCGGCGAAAAAAAAAAGAAACTGGTTCTCGATATCGATCTTGCAATAAATAGTAAAGTAGGTCCGTACCGCTGTTGTGGGCACTTGGCAACAGTCAGCGTCGACGACTACAAAAACAACCTCCGAGACAAGCAAACTCCGGAGAAAAAATGGTGTACCCAACATGTATCGCGCGGCCAACTTGCACAAACTCCGTCAAACCTCGCACGACAAAACAAAGCAGCCGTCATCCACAAATCGGCGAATTCAGTACCAGTACTGTACAAAAAGGTACAGTAGCTCACCACTGACGCGAGGATGGCCTTGGGCAAGGTGTAGAGCAAGGGCGTGATGGCAACCAGCACCAGCATCACCACGACCACGGCGGGAATGAGGTGCATGCGCGTCTTGGCGTTGACGGACTGCACCACTGCCGTTCGACTCAGAGACCCCGACGCCGGGTAGGTCTTGAAGAGCGATCCAACCATGTTGGCGCTCGCCATCGCCACGAGCTCCTGCAAGCAATAGTAGCATTTTCAACATGGTATGCAAGCAAGACGACCGTTTCCTTCATACAGCTTAGACGGTGGGTGTGTTGATTAACACTCTACTGTACTTGTAGCAACACGGTGATCTATTGTTATGTCGTTGGCGTTGGCGCGGTGGATTGTATACATACCGAGATCATTCCTGAGCAAGTACGAACGAAAACGACCAAAACAGCAAGTGTCTTTGAGGCATGAAGGCGACGAACGAACATGTACCCGGCGCGTGTATAGAGTGGTGCGGTTCGAGTTCATCACGTCGACCGGTGGCTCAGAAAGACGACCACAACAACAAGCTTGAAACAAACCCGAGGAAAAATCTTGCAATCGCTACAGCCACGAGTTGTGTCTCGTAGCTGACACTACTATCTGATATTGGTGCAAGTGCATCCATGCCTTGATTGGTCATGCATTGATGTTCCGGTGCACCAAATGACGACCCTACCCTAGTTCGTGTGCAACGTTCTTCTTCAGAATGCCTAGCTTCGACCTTCGGCAGATACAGAATATTAATGTTACATGATCTTGGTGATTGGGATCCTGTTGATGATTCAATTTTCGACCCCCATCACCCGATGTCCGCTTCAACAGGGATGAGGCGCTGCTGCTGAAAAAAAAAAGAAGGAAATGAAACGTATGCCAACCATACGTTTTAAGCTTGACCTTGCTGGCGGTGTCCCATCTATCCCCACGAGGCTGCACAACCGGCACCGGCTTGCTGCTCTACAAGGTCGTGCTGCGGCGGGTCTGTTGCTGGTTGGTGCAGCATACCACGGTATTTAGTTGGTGGCGTTGTCATGATATTGTCACGATCGCTTTTTCCCGTAACGGTAGCAAGCTCGTGGATACATAGCTGATGCACCACCGCTACCATCGCTGGTCCATGTTTGACTGTCGCAAGCTTGTTGCTAGCGGATAGCTGACGTGTCACCAAACCACCACACTGCAGCTAGTTAGGATCACGATTATCCCACGACAACTTCAAACGGGAACGAGAAAGCTTTACTCGACACGAACAAGAAGGCGACCACCGACACTCCCGACATCGACACCGATACTCCTTGCCTGTGCACCGTTGATCTTGTAGGCGTTGTCGTTGATCCTCTGGAAAGTCTTTCCGATGGAGATAGTGATGATGTAGCAAATCACCGCCACCAGCAAGCTCTGGATGGCGAGGTTACCGGCGTAGCTAGAGAACCCGCCGATGCCGTCGACCTGATTCAGTCAGGAGCAGTGGAGACGTGTATCCATCCAAGCAACGAGAGTGCCGGGGGTTGAACAACGCGGGCAAAACGAAACGCGTACAAAGAGAGCCATGCATCGAAAAAGTTAAGTGTAGATCATGAAATGCTGTGGTGCTGCTGCCGTGCCACCACTACGGTACAGTCACCAGAAATAGTAACATGACCCGCGTTCGGCAAGATCCGCACGAGCACTACTAAGTCGTGTATTTCGGCGGGGACAACTCTATCAATAGAAAATACAGTACTGCACATCACCATCGGGCCCACGGTGCGATATTCTGAGGGTACGGGAATGGGGGAGAGTCTTTGAAAGGTTGGCGGAACAAGAAACAAATAAACAACGACAACGAGCTCATGACCACAGCAGCATGTTTGTCGAAAACATGGCATACTACAAGTACTGTTAAATAGACATACTATGGTACAAAAATATGTCATGGACGTGCTTGGGTGTGAACTTGTCTTGGCCGTTGGCTGTCTCTTTGATAAAAACTTGCCAACCTACTCCCGCACCTCCGAGGCGTGGAGATCCGACTACCTCCCATTGCCTTGTCCTGCAAGGACAACGGTTCTACAGTAGCGGTGCAATGTTACAAGCCAGGGGGTTTGCTGTAGTTTCGCCGCATCATCAGGGTACTGCTGTATAACCCTACAGTACCACCCTAACATCCCATTGTACTGTTACAATACACGCCACAACTCTAGGGATGTCCAAGACTCACGTGCCTGCCACGTGCAACGAATTGGGCACCAAAGCATACCGACACAAACGCGCTCGGAATATCCGTAACCAACACCTCCAACCTTGTGCAACGTCAACGACCAAGTAGTCTACATTTGCCTTCGACAACATACAGTAAATAAATCTAATTATCCTATCCTCGATCATCGACCATCAACTCACGGTCGGGAAGGAGGGCAACGAGGGGGGGGGAAGCCCAACAGGGATATCGCCGAGGACCTTGACGTTGTACGGGTCGTTTTCCAACCCCAGGAGGAAGGTCACTAGGGTCGCTAGGATCACCACCACCACCTTAAGCGCAACACGAGGGAGGGAGGGGGGGAGAGCGGGGGGCGGGGGCAAGAGAGAGAAGGGTTCGAAGCGACAAAATCGAAAAAGGAGATGGACAAAAACAACAAATATCGACAGCAGCGAGAGGGCCACACAAGCAAGACACCTGTGAACAGACGAGCTGGAGATGCAATCTGAGGAGATCCTGGAAATATAATTCGCAACAAATAAACAGTAAGAAAGGTCGTTGGCTTACAGCAGCAGCAGGCGCTATTAAGTGAGCGAAAAACAAATGTTCACTTTGACCGCAGCAAAAGCAAAAGCAGCAACCACGGCAACATCAACAGCTACTACTTACTCACCTGAGACGGTAGCGGCAAATGGGGCAGATACCGGTTGTTGAGCTTCTTGAAAATCATCAGCAGCAGAATCCCGCTGACCCCCACGCAAACGGAGGCGATGTTGAACTTCGGCACGTTCGTGACGGCTTCGTACCTGGCGCCGAAGGAGAAAGAAAGAAACAAGTAGCGGGGTACGGTTCACGTTGGAGTTCAACCGTGAAGGACAGCCATTTCTTATGTTGCGGTCAAGGGAAGACCAGTTTACATAGTTCGGATTCATAGTTGCGGCTGAACCTGTATGAGCAGTCGTACGTCTGGAGCCTACAGCAATGCGTTTGTCCTGGTACAAGAATGCATCTCCGCATATCTCTGGCATAGCGAGTGGCGGTCCATATGCATAAGTCGCTATTTTTTTTTCTTATGGACTGGGTTGGAGAGCTCTTGTACCCGACATAACTGGTGTCGTAGCTGATGCCACGTAACCAACAATAATACGAAAAAATAATGTGGACGTCCGCCCTGCTCACCAGATGACCGGGAGTATGGCCTTGGGTAACTCGTACCCCACGAGGTGCTTGAGCTGCGAGGTCCCGATCAAAAACGCGGATGCGGTGGAGAACCCGGACAGCACCGGGTCCGACAGAAAGGTGGCGATTGCTCCGACTCCGAAGATCCGCATGATCATTTGCCAGAAGCCCACGCAAAGGGTGAAGGCCAGGGTGACTTGCACCTTGAGTTGTCATGGTGATGGTAATGGTAATGGTAACGGTCCATGCGTGGCGAAGGAGACGATTTCGGAAAACTTGTTCGTGAGTAGAGGGAGACGTGTTGTAGTAGAGACTTGGGGGACCAATTTCATTAAATGGAAGGGTAAAGCAAGCGTGGGTGGGGTCGGGCAGACTGTCGTGACAGTGCGCGCGAACGCACAGAAGGTGTGCAATCGCTTTGTATCTTCAAAAGGTCAGACGCTTTTCAACCAAGAGGGTGCTGCGAACACCGACCGATACGCACGAGGAAGTAGCAACCATGGTCAATCGAAGACGAATATTGTACGGGACACCGCAAATAAAACTAAACTGACTCTTCGTTCAACGTCAGTTAACTAACTTCAGGCCGCGCTCGCGCGTACCCCATGTGGCTTCCACACAGAGCAACAGCATGGTGAGGGAAGAGCAGAGGTTCAGCAAGAGGCAACCGAAGGGTCAATCGCCGCGTCCGAATACCCACGTGGAATGGTTGGACTGATAAAAACGTAGACACAAAACACAACATAGATCCTAGAAAATATATGGGCTCGAAAGTGTAACACACAGCTTTTCAGTGGAAATTCAAAGCCAGCACATGTCACTCCAACACACCTTGGTGTCGATGTCCTCCTGAGTGGTGTCGGCATTCACCTCGTCGTCGATCCAGCCAATCACCTGCGACACCCCGGCAGCCACCAGGAGGGACTCGATCGCCGAAACCTGAAAGGAAAAAAAAAACGGTTGGAGGGGGGGGGGGGGGGGGGGGGCGTACCCTTATGTTTTGCATGCTTTGCATGCCTTAGCGGTTAGACCATTGACCACGCGTCCTCGAGAGGACGACGGAGCATTGTTCCCGCGGGACCGATCACCGATGGCCAATCGTTCCTTCCTACTTTGCCAAAGGTGGCTAAAAAATGCAGTCGCTATCCTATCGATATCACTTCCCGCCTTTTCAACCTAATTCCTATTCCCCAGTACGGCTACCGTCTTGGGGGCGGGGGCGGGGGTTTGGGATTGGAGGAGAGGAGAATACCGTTTCGTGCAGAACATCATGGGCCAATAGGGAAGCTAGGGAAACCACGAGAGTGTACTCAAAAGAGTCCTCGGATATAAAACAAACAATGAACAACGGAAGGGCGGGTGGGGGGTGGCCGCCTCTCGAGCAGCTGCGACACAAAGCGTATAGCTAGCGCCTTGCGTGACACAGAATTAGCCAACCTTTCGAGCCAAGACCAGCAGCAGATAAGACGAAACAAGATGAAAATGGCAGTGACCACGGACGTGTCCTAAAGCAGGGGAGTAGGCGCTTAAAGTCGTCCCCAAGTCAGACGTGGTTGCAACCGCCAGCAGCAGGTGCTCAACAGGGGACCCAAGGCGATAGGTACATTGGCTTGTAAATAAAACTACACGACAACAAACACTCAACACCAGCAGCTACTGTAGTTACTCACCCCGAGCGAGAGCTGGTTGCAAGTGCCGAACAGCAGGTACATGAGGGGGGGTACAAGGGACGTGTACAACCCGTACACCGCGGGCAGGTTTGCTAGCAGAGCGTAGCTCATCCCCATAGGGATGCACACGATGCCCTGCGAATTCGAACATGACGCGAGGGTGCGATGCGGTCGCAAATAAAGGCAAGCGGGCAGCCGTTAGAGTTGCTGTCGTCTTCACATGAAAAAAAAGATAAGATCTCTGCTGAGCTGCTTCTGACATCCGTACTGGTCCAACTGACGCGGGTGCCTTCCGTAGTTGGGAGAATATTTTCCAGCTGTTTTCCCGTTCTTATCGGTAAAAAAATAAAAACGTTACCTTGACGCAGCGTTCATCAACGCTCCGGTCAGGTCCGGTCAGGAAGAGAATCGATTACCACCCCGAATCCTTCTTTCTGTGATCAAAAATCACCCCGCACTGATTGGCATAGTTTGTACATGAGCACACATGCTCTCGTTCAGTCACGCGACAAGATGGAATGCGAAGCAGGTGATCGGTACATATCCCACCGCATGTCCGCTCCGTCATGACCACAGCACACACTCACAACACACGGTTTGGTCGAATGTCATGCTACAGCAGTCCACATGTCCACATCCCCAAACACGGTGTTGTGCGGATATTGCAGCAGTCCACATGTCAACATCCCTCCTTCGTGGAAACCTCATCTAGCTAGTATACGTGTGCCTTCCGCCTACTGTACGCAACAACCACCAAACCCTGGTCGTGGGGGTGCAAGTTGGATGCTATGATGATATTCTACCTTGACAAAAAATGGGTACGTGCAACACACCACATACCATATATAGAACACGCGCATGTCTACTTTGTACACAAAACATGACACTTCCGAAGGAGACATCCACTAGAAAGGTGACCTCCAGAGTGGGTTCAGGAGAGCACAGCAGCAGTGCCATCAAAGGGGTGATATGACTGCCGGCTGTGATGCTGTCGAAGAACGAACAGCCCACACGTGTTTCGACTCGAAGAGCCCAGCGAATCAAACAACCACACCGACCCGATAAAACAATTCTAAAAATCTGTGTCACGGGATACAGGTGTCTCATATATACATGCATGTACTACTGTACTGTACTGCAGAGTAGTATAGTGTAGTGTCGTGTAGGTCACGTACCTCCGTGAGACCCGCGGCAAGGTCATTCGCGAAGTATTCTCTCTGGTAGGTGCGGACCGTGATCAAGAACGGGAGTGACTCCAACGACTTCCGCCAGTCGAACGAGGGTATGCAGCCTTTCGCCTCTCTGTGCCTCCGAAGTTTCTGGGCGGTCGCCCGAGAGAACTTCGCGTAGTGGCTCTTGATGTCGCTCGTGATCGACTTCATCAGTCCGTCCCGCCTTCAAACAAGAAGTGGATCGATCGTGTCGTATCGTGTCGTGTTGGCCCAAAGGGGCAACAACACGCACCAGCACCGTCGGCAGAACATCAGAACAGAAGGGATAGTTGGTCGGTGAGCAAGAAAAGATGGGGGCTTAGACCACAGCAGGCCGTTGTTTGAAAACAAGAACGGCAGCGGGAACAAGCCGTGACAAAGCCGGAACCAGCTCACGATATCGAGCAAGGAAGTATTTCATCACTTGGATATTTGGAAAAGGGATACGACGAGACAAGCAGGCAAATACGATCACAACAGAACTTATAGCGACGTCGCTTGCTCTCGTCCCCATGTCCTCGTCTACCCACGGACTGCCTACGCAAAGAAAGTAAGTCTATGTCGGGTTTCCGGTGGGAAACGATGAGATGAAAAACACCGCACCGACACCAACCCCGAGTCGACTTCGGAACATAATCATACCATTCTTGTACCAGTACAGCAGTACATATCTTTATCTTCGCGACTCACTCACTCTTCTAGGGAGTACTCGTAAATTTCCTCCGCGTGCCCCCTCTCCGGATGCAAGATCCTGAGCTGTTCGTACGTCTTGAGGCCGGACCTTCCCCTGCGATGGCCTCGCCAGTCTCCACGATCACCTTCCAGTGACTCGAGCGTATCCATACGACTCCGACGGTGAGCCCCCTCGCGGAGGTTGGTCGATACCTCCACATCATCATGCTCATCCTCATCCTCATCCTGTGGGGGCGGGGGGGGGGGCGAGTTAAAGCCGAAACAACCATTGCAATTCCCTCGTCTGCATTAAGACCGGCGCCTTAACGTTCCTGCATAACAGGATGGTTCGCGTTATACTCAAGACAATATTGTGATGCGCGAGTGTCACATGCCGATCGCCATCGAGGATTCTCCCAATATCTGGTTGGGGTTAGGCTTTTACAAGATGGGTTTTAAGATGGATTTAGTTATCCCCCCGGGATAGTAGGTGGACAATCGGCACTTGGTGGTACTGAGCACACACATGAGGGTAACACCGACGTCGTACAAGTAACGCACATCGACCACGCCCGCAAAACAGCGATAGCAGTGAGAGATGACAGCCACCTTGACAACAATGAGAATGACAGGAAGGGCGATAGTACGAGGCACCAGCACAATAACACAAAGCCACCACTACACGACGACCGCAGGACACAATAACTTCCACGAGGCAAACCCAAGCGGTGGAATACTGCATACCAGCGTCACATGTGTGTATCGTATCTTCAGGATCAGGCCGATGAAAGCGAAATTTACTCGTTACAGGAAGGCGGATGGTGAACACGATGGACACGTCAAACAACAAGAGGCAACATCCCAAAATGTCCACCCTCCTAACAGTAACAGTATTCAAACCAGACGGTAATTGCTACCATTCATACCACAAGAGAAGATGAACATGGCAGCATGAGATGAGACATGAGGACCCACCTGGGGGGAGGGGTTTGAGTCCGAAGAGCTGGAGTTGCTTGGTGCTTCCGTGGTAGGGTCCTCCTCAGCATCCAGCCACATGTCCCCCACGAACCTGACGTAACAGCGCATAGAACCAAGCCGAAAAGAAATGAGGTTGCACTCTTCTTGGCACTGCTGTTGTCACTGATAGAGCATCCCGAGCGTGGAAGCAGATCACCCCTCGTGTTCGCATGACGGAGTGCTGAGGGAGATGTGGGTGTCCTACCTGTAGGTTTTGTAGCGTTGTACTATGCTGTACGGCTACCCCCTGAGGGTGATGAGCAGTAGGTCATATTGTAGCGGCTGGACACGTGAACAATGGCACCCGTCGAATGAGAGACAAGGTTCCATAGTTTTCCTCGTGCCTCCTACTATCTACTCAGAATAGTTTTACAGCAGTCGAAGAGTTCGAGGACGCTTGCACGAACTTTTTCCTACGGCAACGAGCAAGATGCTGCTGCAGGCCCCTGTGAGTTACCACCTACAACAGGAGCATCACCGGCGCTCGACAGAGGTACTGCTGTACATACCTGTAGTGCACAACCAAAGGACATACTTTCTTGCAAGGCTTTCAAATGAAACAATTGCCTGTATTCCCCAAAAAAATGCCTGGGGGGTTTCAAATCTCACTACTGCTGTATTTTCGTATTTGCCGACGGGGTAGCTGCGGCCGAGCGACGGGTGGGCTTCCCCACTACCAAAAGCGCAACAAAAAACCGTAACAAGCAGCCGTGAGTATCCTTAAGTGAATGCATACACTCCCCAGGAACGCTTTGAAGAACGCCTCAAAAGAACGATGCTAAGAGAGAAGATAGAGGGACGGGACGGGACGGCGTCATCATCTCGACGATAAAACCAGCTCACAACAGCTACTGCTGTACAAGGGTAGACCACAGGGTAGATCGTCTGTCCGTAGGTTGAGCGCGTACGTACTGCTGTTCCTTCATGTGAAGAATAAGCTTGTTTGGAGGAAAGATAGCCGGTGCCTGACTCTGAAGTTCGTTCACTAACGCTGAAAATAATAACTACACGCGCTGAGAGAGAGAGATACAGATAGAGGGACAGGGGGGGGGGGGGGGGGGGGAAAGGAAAGCCCCAAAAAAACCCCCCCCCCCCCCAAAACAAAAACAAGGCCCAACCAAAAGGGCCCCCACCAAAAAAAAAAAAAAAAAAAAAAGCCCGGAAAAAAAACCCCCCCCTTGCCCCGGCCGTTCGGAAATTTTTATTTTTTCTTTTTCCCACAAAATCAAACCCCCACCTTTAATATTAACCCATTTCTTGCTTTTTTTTTAATTTTTTTTTTTAAAAAAGTCCCCCCAAAAATTATCCCGGCCCCCCCCTCCCCCCCCAAAAAGGGAAAAAACCCCCCCATCTTTTTTTCCAAAATTTTTCCAAACCCAAACCCCCCCCCCTGGGAAAATTACCCCGGTTTCTTCATTTT